ATCTTAAAATATACCTAATATTAAAGGTTTAAATTAACTTTAATATAAAGTTTATATTAATAAAAATTATTTTATTTACTTTTATATTTATAAGTTCTTTTATATTTATATTATTTTTATTATTAACTATTATATAAAATATTATTTATAGCTTTTATTAACTATTTAAATACAAAGTTATATAAAATATTTATAAGTAAGCTTAGTTTTTTTATTAATATAAACTTTATTTAAAAATATATATATATTTTTAAAGAGAATCTATTTATTTTAAGGTTATTAGTTTATTAAGTTAAATTATTTATTAAGTAGGTCATTTAGTTTAATTAAATTAAATAAAGGCTTATTATAGAGTACCTTAATTTAAATAATATAGTTATAATAATTAGTTTTATAATTATAATTATAAATATTATTATTAGGGTAATAATTTAGGTTTTTAAGATAGTTAATATTTATATATTTTATTTTTATAATAGAAATAAATACCTTTAATAGAAAGTTTAATTAATTTATTTTTATTAAATTATTTTATTTAATATAATTATAAGTAGAAGAGAGTTATTATTATTAATTTAATTTCTATTAGTATTATTAATACTTTTAGTATTATATTTAAAGTTATTACTATTATAGTTATTATTTTTTTAAAATTATTATAATTAGAGTTTTATTTATTATTTTATTTACTATTATTAGTATTATTATTAGAGGCTTTACCTTATATAGTTAATTAATAAGTTATTAGTTTTAATTAATTACTTATATCTAGATATAGTAGTCTTTAAAGGTAATATTTATATTTCAAGTTTAAAAGAGAGAAGATTATATAGGTAAGGAGTTAAAGTAAGTTTTTATATATTTTATTCTTTTATTTATTTTTAAAGAGTTAATATATACTAGCTAATTAAATAAAGTTATTATAAAAAGTAGAGAATTTATTATTAGATTTTATAATTAATACATTAAAGTTAATTTTTATTTATAACTTTTATTAAAGTTATTATATTTATTCTTTAATTAAATAAAGAAAGTCTTTATTATAAAAATATAATTAAAGTAATTAAACTTTAGGAAAGATTTTATAATATTAATAATAATACTATTTATTTAATTCTTAATTATTATTACTTTATTATATTTATTAAAATAATAGTTTATATTTATATTTAACTTATTTTAAAGTTAATATTTTTATAATTTAAAGTTTAATTTATTTTTAATTTTATTATTATATTAAGTAGGTAAAGGGTTTATTTTAATAGAGTACTTTTATTAAATAGGGGTAGAGTTTTAAATATTAATAGAGTTAATAGTTTATATATATAACTTAATATTTTTAAGTTAAAATATATAGATTTCCTTTTATAAATTTATTTTATAGAATTAATTTAATTAGCTTTATTAGCTTTATTTAATTATTATTAGAGGTTAATAATTATATTTTAGTTTTTATACTTTAATAAATTAAAATAGTTATATATTCTTTAATAATATTATAGTTTTAGTTTTTACCTTTAAGTTTATAAGAAGTTTATTATATTTATTAATAGTTAATTTAAACTAACTTTATAGGTAGTTAAGGGTAAAGGTAATTTATATATTACCCTTTAATATCTATAAATAGAAAGTAAGCTTTTTTATAAGTTAAATAAAGTATTTTATTTACTTTTTAATATAGAATAAATTAGTATTAACTTTTAGAATAATAATATTATTTTAATAGTTTAAATAAAGAAAGTTTAAGTTTATAATTTTAAAGAGTAAAACTTATTAAATATTATCTTTTAATTTTATTATATAAATTTAAAAATATTATTTATAAGATTAGTTTAAATATAAAAAATTTACTAACCTTTTTTATTAAAAAGTTTAAAATATATAAGTAAAATAAGTTACTTTTAGTTACTTAATTTTATTAATAAGGTTCTTTTAAATATTAGGTTATTAATAAAAGATTAATTTAAAAGAGAATTAATTATATATTATTTAATTATAAGTATATTAATATAATTAATTAACTTTTAAATTTTATTACTTTTAATATTAATATTAATATTATCTTTAAGGGTTTAACTAGTTATAGAAATTGCGCTAGGTAAGAAAGTTTACTTACTTTTAAGTAAAAGTTAATTTAAATAGGTTAATAAAATTTTTAAAATTAAATAAGATTTATTTAAATTAATTAATATTAAATTAAATTTATTAATATAAGTTAAGTATTAAAGTATTTTAAAAAATAATTTTATTATTTTTATTTTTAATATTTTTAAATTTATTATTATTTTTATTATTATTTTTAATATTTATAAAGGTATTAATCTTTTATTTAAAGTTCTTTAAGTTTTTTATTTATAGAGTTAATAATTTTATAAGTTATTATAATTAATTAATTAGGGAAAATAAAGGTTTAATTAAAATAAATATTTTTATAGCTTTTAAGTTATAAGGTTAAGTAGTTTTAAATTAAAATAGTTTTATAACTTATAATAAAAGGTTTAAATTATTTATAAAAATTATTAATTTAAAATTAAAATTACTTAAAGAATAATATAGGGAAGGTAGTAAAGTTATAATTTTATATTATAAGAAATATAAAGGCTATTTAAGTTAATAAAATAAATAAAGTATATAAATCTATTAATTAGTTTTATAGGTATTTAGTTTATAATTTTAATAATATATATATATATATATATTATTTTATATAAATTTATTTAAAAATAATTATTAAATTTATTTAATTTTATATTAATAATATTTTAAAATAAAATAAATAAAATAATAAAATAATTTATTTTAAAAAATAATTTAATTTAATTTATTATATAAATTTTATTATAATAATTTAATAATTATTTATAATATTATTTATTATTAAAAATATTTTTATTAATATATTAAATTATATTTAATTTATTATAATTAATATTATTAATTTATTAAAAATTAAAATTATTATAAATTATAAATTATTTAATTTTAATATTATTAAATATTATATATAAAATTATTATATAATTTAAATAAATTAAATAAAATAAATAAAATAAAATTATAAATTATTTATATTTTTAATTTTATTATTAAATTAAAAATAAATAATTAAAGTTTTAAAAATAAAATATAATATATTTTTAAAAGTTAATTTAATTAAATTTATTATATAAAACTTTTATAATAATTTTATAATTATTTATAATATTATTTATTATTAAAAATATTTTTATATTAATATATTAAATTATATTAATTTAAATTAATATTACTAATTTTAATATAAATTAATTAATTAAAATTAAAATTATTATAAATTATAAATTAATTTAATATTAATAAATATTATATATAAATATTAAATTTATTATATAATTTAAATAAAATAATTAAAATAAATAAAATAAAATTATTATTTTTTAATTAAAGTTTTAATTTTATTTAAATAAATATTTATTTAATAAATTTAAAAATAAATAAAATTATTTAAAAATAATTATTTAATTTAATAAATTAAAAATAATAAAATAAAATAATTATATTTTATTATTATATATAATATTATTATAAATTTATAATTTTAATAACTTATAAATTAAAAATAATTATTAATAATTAAATTTATAATTATATAAAAGTAAACTTTTATTTTAAAAGAAATTATTAATATTTAAAATAATTAATATATTTTAAAAATATTAAAAATTATAAATTTAATTTAAAAAATTAAAATTTATAAAAATTTTAATTTAATATTTATATTTATAAAAATAAAAATATTTATATAATTTAAAAAATTTAAATTAAATTAAATTAAATTATAATAAAAAAATTAATTAAATAAAAATTAATTAAAAATTATAATTATAAATTTTTAATTTTATATTAAAAAAGAAAAATAAAATTATTATTTTTTATAAGTTTTAATTTTATTTTATAAATAAATATTTATTTAGTAAATTTAAAAATTATTAATTTTATTATATTATAAATAAAATTATTTAAAAATAATTATTTAATTAATTTATTAAATTAAAAATAATTTTTAAATAAAGAAATTATATTTTATTATTATATAAAATATTTAAATTTATAATTTTAATAATTTTATAAAAATAATTATTAATAATTAAATTTATAATTATATAAAATAAATTTTATTTTAAAAATTATTAATATTTAAAATAATTATTATATTTTAAAAAATTAAAAATAATAAATTTAATTTTAAAAATTAAAATTTATAAAAATTTTAAATTTAAATTTAAATTTTAAAAATTTAACTTTTAAAAAAATATTAAAAATTTAAAAATTTTAAAATAATATTAAAAATTAAATTAAATTATAATATAATAAAATAATTAAATAAAAAATAATTAAAAAATTATAATTATAAATTGTTTAATTTTATATTTAAAAAAAATATATTAATATATAATATAAAAGTTTATAAAAATATATATATATATATAAATTAAACTTTTTAAGGTCTATTATATTATAAAAAGTATAAAGGCTATTTAAATTAATAAGATAAATAGAGTGTATAGATCTACTAGTTAGTCCTATAGGCGTTCAGCCTATGGCCCTAACAGTAACGGGATAGACTAGTGACCACCCCTGCATCTTACCCGCAGGGGTGATGTACCGGCAGTGCAGCTTGCCAAGCCGAACCAGCCGCAATTGTGCCTTAAGAGGGGTCTGTCTGCTTTACACCGAATTTTAGCCACGGATACAAACTTCACCAGTCATCGCCGACGGCTGAGCAATTTGACTGCGGAAGCGGGCCTCTCAGGTTTATCGTTGTGACTGTTCAAATTCAAGGTTCAAGTAGCTGTCGAAGCAGAAGACCGAGACCCCGTTTCCCCGCCGTCGGTAGGATTCCCATGGGGGTGGTTCATCCTTGCAGTGGCTTTGCTCACACGCTGCGCTACGAAGCTTCCTTCTGAAGCAACCCTCATCTCAACCGAGCTACAAGATAACCTCGAAGATAATGACAAGAAATGGAGTCGACACAGAATCAGTCAGTCGCAACACAAGAGCTGGGCTTGACACTTCGGTATGCGGAAAGCACCCGAGGTTCCCCCAGCGCCACCCAGTGGCTGCAATACCAGCCGTTGATGAAGAGACTTTACGTGATAGAACGGCGTACACTGTGGGATATCATGCAAACTATGAGGAGAGATTATGGGTTTGAAGCAACGTAAGAACCGTATTCTCTCCAGCCCGCCCCATCCAAATCACTAAGGCTGACAAGTGACAAAGTGCCAAAATGTACAAGAGCAGGTTCAAGGCCTGGGGGTTTAGGAAAAACATTAGGCTCCGGGCCGGGGAAGATGAGGACCTCATTCAAGTTCTACGTGAAAAATCACAGCCATCTGGCCAATCCGGGTCACAGACCGGCAACTTTCTCTTACGCAACGGCCAGCTCGTCCCACAGGATCGACTGGTGAAGCATTTGCGCCGGCGAGGAGAGGGCGGGCTCAATACTAACAAACACCCGACTACCAGGGCCATAAGACCGCCCGACACGATCCACATTTCCGAAGCTTTGCTTTTTCAGGTCCGCAGTTACGTCCGCGGCACATGGGAGGAGGCGGTTTCCACGGCGGAACAGCTTGACAACTTGCGAGAGGAGCGCCCAAACGCGCCCGCGTGCAACGCCCTTGCCCACGGCGTCAGGTACGCCCTCGAGCAAAAGAATCTGAACAATGCTCTGGTCCTAATGCGTCGGGCCCCTGGCGTGCTAGCGGAATTGATGGCGCTGCGTACACCAAACACCTTGTACGTTTTGTTCATGTCCCTAGCTTACTTCACCGCTGGGGGTCTCCTCAGTGGTCCTGAGGCTGCGCAGTTCTTGGTCGTGGTCAGGCATCTCATCAAATATGTCGCGGTGTTTGTTGCCAAGGACCAAGCCTTGCCCAGTACGCACCCCATCCGGCAGATGCTTGCATTGCTCGCCAACGCAGACGAGAAGGAAATCTACCAGCTGGCGACGAAAGCTTGGTTTGTCAACTGCCAGTCGTGGGACGGCCTGATGGACAGCCCGCGGAGCACGTACGCTATCGCATCATGGATCAGCTACGGCGAGTTTAATGGGTTCAATGCAATGCCATCGAATTTAGGAAATATCATCGAACTGACGCTGGAACAAAATGCAGCGAAATATGGAGAATACCAGTTAGTCCCTCCCCCCCCCCCTTTGACATCTTCAATCCTTTCATGCTGCTGCGAGAGTACTATTTTGCTCTACTTAAGCTTTCACTTGCACCTGAGCATTATTTGTTCTTCTGTCAGCGCCTTTATAACGTTTGTAACATTACATTTTAACACTCATTACCAGTCGTCGAACCACACATACACTGCAAATGTACTCAATGTACCTCACCTACCGCGACAGGGCTAACGGACGAGACCCTTACTTCAACATGGAAATCGTCAGTGTATTCGAGGATCTGCTGAGGCGAGGGCCCCAAGGACTTCTCAGAGCCGATGCCCTCAGCTGGCTCGCTAAGGCGTCCAAGGCGCGCGGAGATCGAGACTCAGCCGAGAGATATATGCGCGACTTGATCAACTTCTTGCTCGAAGATGACAACCACAGAAACTCATTGGCGAGGGGCTTCATGAATGATCTGGAGTCGTGGTTCATCGAGTGGGAAGATACCCAGAAGGCTGCAGAGCTCGCGGAGTGGAGAGAGGAGGAACTTGGTTCTCAGCCAACAGCATAAGCTAAACGGTCCGAACAACATTTCCCATAGCAGCTAGGAGCGCAAGGAATATAAAAGACGAATCAAGCCCAGAAAACATCATTCAAATCAACCGATTCATCGTCATCGTTCTCTTTGTCATCGCGAACAGCATCAGCCCGCTCGAATAGCCTCAACACCCCCTCATTCCCACAAGCAGCCGCGATATCAACCGCCGTCTTCCGGTCGTTATCCTCCACCATGGGGTCCAGCCCCCTCGCCATCAGAGCCTTGAACCGACGGGCGTGACCCTTCGCCGCAACGTGCAATATGCTCTGCCCGACGCTGTCCAGCGCGCCAAAGTCCGCGCCTGCCGCCTCGAACGCCGCGATACCGCCCTCTTCGTCGTACGTCGCTGTTTCGAGATTGTGTTTGTAAATATCGAGCTTGCCTTCCCTGAACCCGCGACTGTACCAGAACAACGGTGTCTCGCCTTTCGAGTTGCGGGCGTTGACGTCGCACCCGAGCTCGATGAGCTTCTTGAAGAGGGGCCGCATGGAGGAGACCCACAGCATGCGAGACACGATGTGAAGGACCGTGTTGCCCTCGTTGTCTGCGATGAGAGGGTCGGCTCCGGCCTCGAGAAGTGCGTCAGCTGCTGTTGTACTCTTTTCGCAAATGGCTCGGTCGGTTGCCAAGTGCAAGGGCGTCTTGCCGTCTTTGTCCTTCTGGTTAATAATCGATAGTTGGTTCTCTAGCGTAAATTCAAGTGACTTTTGAATAGCTGGTATCTGGTAGAAGCGGTGCGGAGGACACCGAAGCATGTGGTGTAGCACGTTCTGTCCCAAGTCGTCCCGTGCTCCCAGATCCGCGCCGATGGAGACGAGATGGCCGAATACAGATATCTCTGTCGATGTTTTGGGGTCCCATGGATCCCAAGGGGCCAGAGTTAGCGGCACATCGGGACCTCGTCTAGAGGAGCAAGCTGCGTGGAGAAGGGTTCGACCACTGCCGTCCCGGGTATTTGCGTCGATACCTGGCAGTTCCAAGAAGGGGTGCACAATGTATCCGTCAGCTAGGAGCTGGTGCAGGACAACGCATTCCTCATGCTGATGTGGTTTATCGGGGTCTGCCGTGGCGTCCTTCTCACGGCGTAGTCTGCCAACGCGACCGCGTAGTCTGGCAACGCGACTCGAGCCACTTAAGTCATCCGCAACTCGTCGGGAGTCAATCTTTTGGCGATAGCATTCCTCCCCAGAGCATTTCACAAAAGTAGCGAATGGGTTGGCTCCGTGCGACAAGAGGACTTCGATCAATCTCAGACCTGCAGCGCAAAGCGCTTTCTTGTCGTGGGTGTTTTGGCTCGACATCGCCGCGGCGTGATGCAAGGGATACCACTGATGTATGAACCCACCATGGAACTGCCAGCGTTCGTTGTGATTCTTCTTCATACCAATGTTGGCATCGCCACCCGCCGATAGCAAAACATCAAGCACTCTGGGCTGCCTGTTATTAATTGCACCAAAAATTGCATCGGCGTGTATCGCCGCTCCGTGTTCAACCAACAGACGAGTCATTTCGACATCACGACCGGCATGGTGAAGACAACTTCGTCCCGCTTTATCTGTAGCATTAACATCTGATCCACCCAGAATAAGTTGAAAAGCGGCGTTCTGGTGAAAAATCCCGAGGTGATGAGCAGCGCCTAGGGCTATATGCAGTGGTGTGTGGCCTTCCGAGTTCCTGACCTCGAGGTTTGCGCCTTTTTTGATCAAGTATGGCAGAGCCTGAGCGACATGCCACCAGTGGGATCCTTTGGCGAGCGAGTGAAGAGCACTGTCTCTCGGCGACTCGAGTTCGTACCCACCATCAACCGGCTTGTATTGTCCGTGCAGCTCATCAATGGCAACTCCGAAGTCCTCTACAAGAAGACGGACCATGTCCAACATAGGCACATCTTGGTGAACTGCTTGTAACAAAAATGGCTTGCAATACTCGAACCTGTAGGCTTCCGGTACGCCGCCATGGGTCCATGTCCTATTGTGACCGAACACGGGCTGGGTTCCATCCGGTGGGGCAGACCAGATGCCCTTGTCGACTTGTTCCTGAGCCACGAGCGAGCCAATCCGCTTTACAAGAGAAGTGAAACCTCCTTTCACGAGAGTTGCCAAGTTAGTAAGCCCATATGTCCTGTAGGGGGCGAGGAAGTCAACGCCCGCCAGAACTAAATCTTCCATCACCTCGTACTCCCGACGTCCGAGTAGCGTGAGGAACAAGTGCTCATTTGCTGTCCCTGGCTCAATGATTCCAGGCTCACCAAGTGCCTTGCGCATGGCTTCACGCCGGTGAGGGATGAGCTTCTCGTCGAAAGTTGGTTCTCTGGACCGAAGTCGCGCCAAAGCTTTCGAATTCGTCAATGGTCGCGTTCTGCTTGCATCTGACAGGCACTTCATCGCATATTCCCGACAGTCGGATGTTGTGTCGGTCATTCCCCCACACTGGCATCTTGTAATATGCATTCCGAAAATGCCCTCGGGCAGATCACCGCCATGGTCCAGAACCATTTCAATGATTTCTTCGAGTCTTGCAGTGTCGTCGAGTGGATTGACAGGCCAACTGCTGTCACGGTACCTCCCAAAATGCGGGCGTGTAACGTCTTCCTTTGTAAGACCACCACAAGCTCCATTCTCCGCATCATGAGGGGCCTTGCTGTGCCAGAGTTCGAGTTCCTCCTCGAATCCAATGATTGCAGCCCTCAAGTTCCTCCCTTTGACGTCTGCTCCGGCGTCGAAGAGCATGGACACTATCTCTGGTCGTCCTGAGAGACAGGCATAGTAGAGTGGTGTGGTTCCTTTGGCTTCAGCGTTGACTCCTCTACTTGCGCTGTTGCTCGGTCCTTTCAACCAAGCTCCTTGGTTCATCAGGTCCCTAGGTGGCTGATCTGAGCCTAGTCGATGGAGAGCGTCGATAAGCATGCCAACGATATTGCCTTGCCGAGATCTAGCGGCGAGGTGAAGCGGTGTCAACCCTTCGAACGTCTCAATCGTAGGGTCGGCACCAGCTTCGAGCAGCTTTTTCGTGTGATTTTCCGACACAGTGACAGCTAGATGCAACGGCGCAATCCCGTCCCTATCACGAACGTTGATGTCTTTCGTACGGGAAATGACCAGATCCAGGATAGTGTCATCCCTGACGTCGAGATCACTCTCAGCCTTAACGCAAAGCCGATGGAGCGGTATTCGACCACGGTTGTTGGGCCGATTGACATCAATGCCCAATTTGAGGAGCATTTTCAACAGAGCGAGATTGTCTGCCGTATGGCGGTCGGTATTGATCCGCCAGCATAGCTCGTGCAGCAAAGTATTGCCATGATAATCTGTTTCATGGATATCCAGGCCCAGACCCACGAGGAAATCGAAGCGGGAAGGACCAGGCTCTGGGTCGCGGAAAGAGGCCTGTGGCCCTTTCTGTGTCTTGATCACCTCGTGAAGCAAGGTTCTTCCCTCATAATCTCGAGATTCCAACAGAGCCCCGCGTTCCAAGAGGCTCGTGATAGCATCTCGGTAGTCCTTTTCTGATTCGAAGTCAAGCCCGGCGATGGTGCGGAAGAGGAGTGTCGCGCCACTCTTACTGTCCCTTGCGTTTATGTCGGCGCCTGCCTCAATCATGACGTTCATCAAATCGAATACGGCTGAATTTTGTGAGAAGATTACATCAAGGGGCGTTTGCCCGGATTTGTTCCTCAAATTCAGGTCTGCACCAGCCCTGAGGAGCGCTTCAATGACTTCCGGCTTTGAGTGTCGGGATTGCAACGCGATATGCAGCGGCCCATTACCGTCGTTGTCGACAATGGTGCAGTCGGCTCCGTGTTCGATGAGCCAAAGGGCTGGCTGGGCATACCCATCAAGCGAGAAAAGGAGTGGCGTTTTTCCATTAGAAGTTGCCTTTCTGTTAATGTCCGCCTGGCCATTTTCCAGCAGTATAGACAAGCTTTCAACCGACATCAACTGGTGAAGAGCAGTGTGCCCCTTGTCATTGGCGACATTGGTATCAACACCTGCGTCGACCAGAATTCTGAGCCAAACGGGGTTGCTGGCCGCTATGTGCAGAAGAGAATCGCCGGAAGGTGACCGGTCATGGATATCGGCCCCTTTGTCGACGAAGAGGTCTAGCAGGCTCTTGAGCTCCTCTGCCTCGCCTTCCGGTTTCATTCTGCGCCGGAAGCCTTCGAGTGCGGAATACAATGCTGTAAATCCCCAAACCCTGGATTGGTCGTCTTCGCCATTTCTGAAACGGAATTGCCTCATGAGACGCCTCGCCTGGCCCGACCCTCCCGACCCAGTGAATTCGTCATAATACTCGCACCGTATTGTAGGATCGGCCCCCTCATTCAGCAGCAGCTTCATGGTCTTAATCTGTGCCCAATGGCTTGCCAGGAACAGAGGTGTCGCGTCATTGACCTTGCGGTTTATGTCGACTCCGGGGTGTTGGAGGATCCGATGGACTAGATCGTGTCGGCCTCTTTCAGCAGACCAGGCAAGCGCTTGATGAACAGATTCTTCATCCTTGAGAAAAGGCAGAAATGCCTCTAGGGCCTCAAGATGTCCGTTCCGACAAGCATACTACATACAGGTCAGCAAAGCTAACATAGTTGATGCATTCACTCATGCTGCAATGGTAAAGTTACTCACCATCAGAGGCGTGTGTCCAGTCGAACACGGTGCATTTCCACACCAATTTCCTGGATGCTCCTTAGTCTTCTTCGTCAATGGGTCCACTCCGGAGCCCAAAAGGACTTTGATAACCTCAGGGTGGTTCTTCGAAGCGGCCTCGTGTAGAGGCTTGAGACCGCTGAAAGTCTCTTCCTGGTCAGGATTCGCGCCAGCATCTATTAAGACCTGAACCACTTCTGACATCCCCCTTGAGGCAGCCCACCATAATGGGGTCTTGCCGTGATCGTCCACTGCATCAACATTGACCGGAGACAAGAGCAGGTGTCTTGCGTACGCAGTGAGCCCATGCATCGCTGCGGTATGCAGAGGTGTGATCCCAGAGCTGGCATTGCCTACGGTGAACCACTGAAATTTGGTCCAGGTCTCGCTAGAGTCTGGATCTCGCATCAGCTTTTCCAGGGCCAGGTTGACGTCGGTCTGATCGTAGCCTGCGGCTGTCGATCTAGCAACATGGACATGCCAGCTGTTCAGCGCGTAAACTAAGAAAGGGTACTTGAGCTTCAGTTTGATGTCTTTGGTGTCTTGTGGTTTTTCGACTTCGTCGAAGATACCGGACAACAAGTAAGCCACGCATGCGGAGCCTAGACTCGCGTGTGTCTCCCCAAAATCAAGCACCGGGTAGCCATCATCATCAGGCAATCTGGTCGTGCCCTTGAGGTACTCCGTCAAGGAGTGGTGAATAACGCAGATGGTCTCGTCAGCCAAGATCTCCAAGAGGGGGCCGCATGCAGTCCTGACGAGGTCCTTGGTAGACCTCAAATCTTGATCGGTGTTCTTGTTGTGTGTAACATTGATCATCTCAGCTATCTCAAGGATTCTGAGCGGTCGTGTCGCATGGGTTACCAACTGCAGGATTCGACGTTGTATTGCGTCAGGGACTCCAGACCTGTGGGAGTGTTCACGGAGCAAGTCGGTGTACATCTGATTCATGTCGGCTGGCAGAGAGTCAAGAACTGCCTTGATGTTGGCACCCGGCTCTAGGAAAGCATCCATGGCCAGTTTAGCATATAGGAAGAGACCATTCGCCCGGCCAGGGATGGCCTCTTGGATCAGCTGTCGATCTTCATGACAGATACTGGTGTTCTCCAATCCCCATCGTACAAAGGTCGAAATGTCGGCGTCGACCATCTTCTCCTGGAGACGGATCTGGATACACTTTGCTTGTCGCAAAGGACCCTCGACAGCGGGGACTGGACGGCTCGTGATCAGCACTTTGACTTTCGAAGGGTTCCAGCTCCCAAGCTCAGCCAAAGCTTTCAGGAAGGCATCATTGCCATGGTCCATTTCATCGAGAGCGTCGGCGACACAATAGACCCGCCCAGGGAGTCCAGAAAACGCGAGTCGGAGATCTTCCCACAAGTCTTGCATTGACATGCTGTCAAGTGCTCGAGTTTTTGTGCCATATCCCCCTTCTCCGACATAGCCTTTCAACTTATTTTGGAGAGGCGGGCTGTACGTCAAGATTTGATCCAGCCAATCTCTGAGAAGCGCAACGGGTTCGTGATTTGCGTCGATGATTTGTCGGAAGAAGAAGTACAGTACTGGACTTCCTTGGTCATTGGCTGAGAGTTCCCTGATGATGCTTGACGCCAATACCGATTTCCCGGATCCTGGGATCCCCTTGATCCAGAGGAGTCCGGTGTCTTCGCTCTGCAACCAATCCTTGTATGAGATGTCGGTCTTCAGCCAGTCACCAGTGCCTCGGACGTGGCAACTCAGGTGTTTGCGGTACTCGCTGCTTTCGAAGTCGTACAAGGTTGGCTTGAGCCAGGCTCTGAGCATTTGAATGACCTCTGGTGACTCGGGCAATATCTGTCTGGGATTATAGTTGCTAACATCACCACGGTCAATAATGACAGCCTCGTCATCACTTGGGGAAGACATTGCTTGTTCGTGCGTAGGTCACTTAAAAGTGCTGCCAGTCCCAGGATATCAATTGGTGATGCTTGGGCTAGGCAAGCTACACGTTTGTTGAGTGGGTAGAATCGAGCGTAAAATTTGGGAACAACATCACTCATCAAGGGAGGATCAGCTATATATACTTAGTCAAGCAAATTCAATCTGGCTCGGCTTGTCAGCAAGGCAGCCAGGCAGCCGCATATCAGCATGTCCAAAGCGGGGTTAGGTTCGCAGCCTATATATAGATGACCACCAGCGATAGCGAAATTTCAGACCCACCAACCTCTCTGTAAGAAAATTAAGAAAATCAAATTTCAGGTCTTCTAGTAATAGAAATAAAAAACCACACTAGTCCTAATTAAATACTAATATAGGTATCTTTTTAAAGTTAAAAGCTTTATAATAAGGATATAAAGCTTTTTAAATAAAAGTTAAAGTTAGATAGATCTTTAAATTTATTAAAGTTCTTAAAGTTTAAAAGGTATATAAAATTATATAGAAGTTATATTAAAATTAGAAGTACCCTATAAAATTAAGGTACCTATAAAACCTTTCAGACCCACCCAACCTTATAAAACGAAAACTAGCTAGCAGAGTGCCGAAATCTACAATTTCACTAGCTATCACTGGTAACTACTATCTTCCAAGGTTGGCTGCAGCTAGAGTGCTTCCACACAGAAGACACCTGGACTTCCAAGGTTGACAGACATCGTTAATCTTTTCGAAAACCGCTCAAATTCTTGCAGACAAATCTGATTTATTCGGCATATAGATTTGGAAAGAAAGAATTGCCTTGAAATGATAACCTGGAGATTCAGGGGCAGGAATCTTGCTACTATTGGAAGTACTCCATAAGTCAGTGTACCACTCCACGCACCACCCCCTTCCCGCACACACATTTCCCACTAAAAACCGTGATTTTTCACCTCTCTTATTTAATTCTATTAAATTTTTATAAGAGAAGTAAAATACTTATTAAATTCCTCTTTTTTATTCTATATAATAATAAAATTTAAATAATTCTAACCTAATCCTAATATAGTTAGATAACTATAAATAAATATTTTTTATTTTTTATATACTATATTAATATTATAATTTTAAGGTTAATTAATAGTAAATTTAATTACTTTACTTTATTAAAAAAAAGTAGTTAATATTAATAAGTATTTATAAAGAGAGTTTCTATTTTTAAAATTTTTCTTTAATTAATTATTAAAGATTTAAAATAAGTGGAGTAAATATAGTGGAGAAAAAAGTTCTATATATTATTAAAACTTAAATAACTAATTAAAGAAAAATTCTAAAAATAGAAACTCTTTTTATAAATATTTATTAATATTAACTACATTTCTTAATAAAGTAAACTAATTAAATTTATTACTAATTAACCTTAAAATTATAATATTAATATAGTGTATAAAAAGTAGAAAATATTTATTTATAGTTATTTAACTATATTAGGATTAGGTTAGAATTATTTAAATTTTATTATTATATAGAATAAAAAAGAGGAATTTAATGAATATTCTTTCCTATATATAGTATTTTTTTAGAATAAATTAGAGAGGGCTTAAAATCGGGCTTTTTGGTGGGAAATGCGTGTGCGGGAAGGGGGTGGTGCGTGGACTGGGTCGTTGACTTACAATAGGGCCATACCTCTGTCTGTGACAAGCGAGAGTTAGCCCCACTGGTTGAATTTGCATGCTCGCACGTACCACAAAAAATTGTCCACAGCCAACTCTAGATTCCATAAAGACCACCCTGAACATGCAAATTTAACCCGGGGGGAGGGGGCAACTCTCGCTTGTCACAGACAGCTGCATGGGAGGGGTTCAACCTCATTTCCTGTCTTATCGATAAACAGCACTTGAGACACTGCAGTCAGGTGATCAGGCCACCCCTCAACCAACAACCAACACCTGTCCTTCACTGCAGTCGTGCGATAAATTTTGCTGTGCTGTCTTATATCGTGGTTAGTACCTAGGCAGTGAAAACCGTGGCTGACGTTTGCTGACCCCATTGATGTTTGCCAGTGCGAGATCTTGTTCGTTTCAATACCAGGTAGTTACCTGGACAACGGACTTCAAGTCGGTCTTTCTGCCACAATTCTGCCCACCAAGAACTTTATTCGCGCAGGAGACGCCCCGTGTTGACATCTGCAATAATTCAAATCCCCTCAGGCGCCAACCCACCATCGTGGTCCCTTGAGTCCACAGAGTTGCAATGTCTGGAACAAGGTCGAATTCACTCGATGACGAGAAGCCGGGTTCCGGCCCCCAGAAGACCAAATCGTCGGACTCACCTGCAGAGATTAAGAGAACAATGCAATTCTTGACCATCATCGGGATGGCCTCCGACGGTCTATGGCACCACCGCATCCGCCAACACTATATTGGATACCCGAGAACTCTGAACACCTGCGGGATTTCCGCATTCTGGGCCGCTGTCTGGTATTGTGCTACCAAATCCGGGGACTGGGCCCACGCTGCCATCGCAAAGGACCAGCACAAGATCCCAACTGGCCCCGTGCCTGCATACGACGGCATCTGGGACCACGGTGAAATACACACTGCAGCTCAGGCCGAGCCACTGCCGCCGAGGTGGAAGAAGGCGCACATAGCGGCCAGCTGCTCGCTCACCGTAATGCCCGTGTTCGTGCGTCTTACTTGTGCATTTCGGCCATGGTTCTGGCAGCGGCGCCTCCCTTTTAAGATTCTCTGGCTCGGCGGTGCGGCTTTCACCGCGCGAGTGTGTCTCGGAGGATTAGCGGCTGTGGCAGTGTCTCGTAAAAGTCTCCGAGGTGCACACGGGTTGGAGCAGGTGAGGGCTGAATAGAGAGTGTTGCGTGCATATGGGGGACGGGTTTACTTCGTCAAGACGGTGCCCTTTAGCCTTGTCTGTGCTGTCGCAAGGCTGAGGCCACAAGCACCTATCGTAATTTTTAACTACAGTTATCGACATCATACGGAATACAAGCGAAACCACCCAAAATTAGATGCTGGTGCAATTTGCGATCTCTCATGGATGATTAATGCCACTGGCGTATCCCTCTCTAGCCTGTAGATATATCAAATGTCCTGTGGCTTCTGTTCAGAGTGAGGTCGAACTAGCATCAGGGTATCATGGGCGTCGACAACAGCCCCTTCATTCACCAGTATCTTCACACAGACACCATCAACGGGACTCAAGATCTGTACATCCATCTTGCAGGACTCCAGGTTCGCCTGGGCAGCAGCAAGAGTTAGTCCGACTTCATGGCAAAGAGGTGTTGGGTTCTATAACTGAGACTTACCAATACCGACCTTGCTTTCACTGCCTCACCTTCCTTGACGAGAAGCCTCCAGCACCGCCCCGGAATACCGGCCTCCACCCTCTCGCAACCATCGAACTGGCCCTCTTCTCCATTATCCGGCGGCCCGTCCTGACTGCATGCGCCGTTCGTAGCAGTCGCCTCCTCGCGGGGGCGGATCAACTCGTCCAGGAAGGGAGCCGCCCTTATCGCACGGTCCCTCTGGGCCGCGGACGCCTCGATCTCCCCGCGGTGCGCGTCCTCCCAGGCCTCATGCGCCTCGAGGTCCAGCACGCCGTCCTCGATGCGGACCAGCCCCCGCTGGGCCCCGGATGACCGGGCGGCGTCGAGCTCGGCCTCGGTGATGGGGTAGAACGAGATGCGGTCGAAGATGTCGAACAGGCAATGCTGCTGCGGGTCACCTGCCGCGGGACCCGCGCCTGTTGTGGGGGCCCAGATGTTGTCGACGGTTCGTCCTACGAGCTGGTAGCCACCGGGAGATTCGGCCGCGTAGACTTTGAAGAGTCAGTGTCAGCTGCACACCACTGGTCTGGTAAGATGGCTGGGCTTCTTCTGTGGAGAGAGGGAGATGGGGGTTGAAAAAGCCAATAAGCAAGTGGCCGTGGCGCATAAAAGACGTCTGGACTTACTGCACATGTACTGCCCCCCGATACCGACAGCCCCCTTCGGGGTGAACGTCCTCGAGGGGTTATATTTGGTCCCGAAGAGTCGATGGCGGGGATCAAGCGGCACGGCGCAGGGCGAGCCCAGGTACACGTCGCCGAGGCCGAGGACCAGGAACTCGGAGCCCCCCACGACGTCCCGCAGGACACCCCTGCCCACGCCGTTGAGCCGCGCGAGGAAGTCGACATTGCTAGGCACCCAGGGCGCGCCGGCGCGGACCGTGGCGGCGTACCGCGCGACGGCCGCGCGGGTGGCGGCGTCGTCGAAGGCGAGCGGGAGCCGGACGCGGCGGGAGGGCACCCGGCCCGGGACGGCGTAGGACCGCATGTGCCTGGCGAGGCGGTCCGTCATGGTCTGGTGCGAGGTGTTGTGGGGGGAGAACCTCACGTGGAGCGTGCAGGCGCCGGGCGTCAGCTCTTCGGCCCCCGGTATGGCCTGCCGGTGCTGGTGGTGCCGGACGAAGGCGAGGATCTCGAAGCTCTGGCGGAGGTTGAAGGTGCTGGCTTCGCCGAACTCGAGCAGCAGCGCGGAATCGCCCGCCCGTCGGAACTGGATCCTCTGCTTGTTGTGGTGTGTAGTCGTGCCTAGGATCACTGGGTCGGTGGGGCGGGTGGTAGTTTTGGGTTCTGGCCATGTCAAGCCCGGCAGAGGGGTGAGGTGGTCGATGGAGGAAGAAAGCTCAGCATTGAGCGCGAGGGCCTTCTCAGTGGCGACTGGCAGGAGCCTGATGGAATCGCCAGGCCTCACCTGGCCCAGCTTCCACATCTCTGCCGAGGCAACAACACAGAATACGACGAAGCCACCGAGACTAGGCCCGTCGCGCGTGAGCACGACGGCATCGTCGCCGGTGAAGCTGACGCTCCCGATCGAATACGGGCTGTCGTGGATGTTAGATGGGTGGAGGCCCGCCTCGCCGCCGTGCTGCCTCGCCCACTGCGGCCTCGGCCCCTTCAGACGGATACCGAGGCGGTTGCTGTTGTAGTGGACGGTCCACTTGCTCCCGAAAAGGGAATTGATATCCTGCTCCGTGAAGAAATCCGGTGCGCCGTGGGGGCCTGGCACAACACCTATTGTCCACTCCGCGCCTGGTTGTCTGGGGATCGGCATCTGTGGCGAGGCAGGTAGAGAACCACCGTCGATGATACCGGGCTTGGAAGAGTCTAGCAGTGATATGAGGTCTCCACGCTGCAGCTTCCGGCCGGCGGAGCCTCCCATCTGGCCGAGCTCGAACGTTGAACGGCTGCCCATGACGAGGGGGACATCGATACCGCCACGGATAGCGATGTAGAAACGAGCGCCCGACTCCACCGAGCCTACCTTTAAGGTGCTTCCCGCTGGGACGCAGAGTGCCTGGTTCATGGGCGCATGTTTCTCGTCGATGTGAACTGAGGCCACCGCGCCAACTACGGCAACAATGGCATCACAGTGGAAAATCAGAGATGGGCCTGTCATGGTACACTCAAGCCCAGCACAACCCTGTTGGTTTCCAACGAGGCGGTTCGCAATCCTGAACGACAAGTCGTCCATGGGACCAGAAGGAGGAACTCCGATGTTCCAGTACCCAGTCCGCCCGGGCCAGTCTTGGATCGTCGTCAGGCAGCCAGGCTCGACTACTCTGAAAGACGCTGAAGTATAACGGAAGTCTTCGAGAGACCGTGTCGTGTAGTCCCCGGACTGGAACATTGCGGAAGCAACCAGCTGCTTCAAGTATTCAAGGTTGGTCTCGATCCCGCCGACTTTCGTCGCGCCAAGGCCCTCGGCCAGTCTCGCAACTGCTTCGCGGCGGTCCTTGCCCCTGGCAATAAGCTTCGCCAGCATCGGGTCATGACAAGCCGACACCTCTGCGCCGCGGGAGATCCAGGTGTCTACCCGCAGGTCGGAAAGCGGCAGCTCGAGCTCGAGGACACGTCCGGCGCAGGGGCGGAAACCCTGCGATGGGTCCTCGGCGTATAGCCTGGCCTCGATGGCGACGCCCGTGACGGGGACCACGCCGTCGGGATATTTCCGGAAGAGCTCTTGGCCCCCGTCGGCGGCGATCTGTATCATGGCCTCGACGAGATCAAGCCCCGTGACCGCCTCGGTGATGGGGTGCTCAACCTGCAGCCTGGTGTTTACCTCGAGGAAGTAGAAGCCCTGCGTGTCCATGTCGTAGAGAAACTCGACGGTGCCGACGGTTCGATAGTGCAGCGCCGAGACGAGCCGGACGGCGGCATCCCTCATCCGCAGTCTCGCCTCGTCCGGGACCATCAGGGCAGGACTCTCCTCCACCACCTTCTGGTAACGCCGCTGCAGGGAGCAGTCCCTCTCGCCAGCTGTTATGACCCGGCCACTGCCGTTTCCGAGTATCTGGACCTCGACGTGGCGGGCCCTTGTGATGAAGCGCTCCAGGATGACACAGCCGTTGCCGAAGTTTGTTTCCGCGAGCCGTTGCACGCTCTGCATGGCCTCCTCAAGCTCACTGGCCTCGTCACAGCGTCTGAGCCCGATGCCGCCCCCTCCAGCACTGCTCTTGAGCATGAGCGGGAAACCAACCTCCCGGGCCCTGTCCAGTGCCTCCTCCACAGATCTGACCGGCCAGCCCCCGGGGATCACCGGGATGCCGAGCGCGGCGGCTATCTTCCGGGCGGTATGCTTGAGGCCCAGCTTGGACATCTGCGGGGGTGACGGGCCGATCCACAGCATGCCCTCGGCCTCGACCCTGCGGGCGAAACCGGCGTTCTCGGCCAGGAACCCGTAGCCGGGGATGATGGCATCAGCAGACGCCGACCTGGCCAGCGCCAGGATCCGGTCGGCGTTGAGGTATGTCTCGGCGGCGGTGGCCCCCGGGAGCCGCAGCGCGACGTCTGCATCCCGCACGTGGGCCGTGTCGGCGTCGGCGTCCGAGTAGACGGCCACGGCCTCGATCTCCATCCTCCGCAGCGTCCTGATGATGCGCACGGCGATCTCGCCGCGGTTGGCGATGAGCACCCGGGCGATGCGCCGCCTCGGGGGCGGCTCTGCGGGCTGTTTCGCCATCTGGGCCTCCCAGGCGCGCAGGTCTGTGATCTCGGTGGCTCCGGCAGGGTCCCGCGCCTCACATACAAACCCGCAGGCCGAGCCGCCGTCCTTGAGCTCAATGGAGCCCAGGGCCAGAGGAGGGCCGATGCTCGTCGCGAGGCTGTCGCGGGCCGAGTTGGGGAGACTCCAAATCTCGAGGTCGACCTCCCGGCCACCATTGGTCGTCTCTCCAGGACCCATCCGCCCCAGACCAGCGGGATAGACAAAATGGTCCAAGGTATAGAGGCGGTACGACGCTGCCGTCGTGGTCACGCGGTCCAACTTTGCGCCCCGGGAGGCCAGGTCCCGGCCGAGGGCGCTCCCGGTCAGGCGCACACCGACGACTGCAAGCTCTACGTTGCTCTTAGGTAATGGAGTAGCGTTTTTACGTGTCGTTGGCCCTGGTGCTGTTGTCGTGAGGTAAGAGTAAGTGGCCCCGGAAGGGCGCGACTCGCCGGCAACCCATTGGCGGGTGATCCGTAGCAATTTGTGCTCCTGCCCCTGGCTCGATATCAACGTCAGCCCGAAGGGGAGGTTGTCCTGCCGGAACCCTGCGGGAAAGGTGATGGCGCAGCAATTGAGGAGATTGACGAAGCCCGTGTAGGTGCCCAGCTTGGAGCCCTGTCGGGTGGGGTCTTGTACGACCTGCTCGGGCGTCGCAATCGTGGGCAGGAGAATTCCATGGAAGCTTTGCAGCTGCGTGAGGATCTCTTTGAGGCTCTGGCGGAGGTCGTCGTCGGCGAGGGCGTCGGCGGTTGAGGCTCCGTCAGCCAGCCGCCTTCCGAGCTCGAACAGGCTGCTGAGATCTCGGGGCACGAGGTGCCATCCCAGACGCCTGGCCTCCTGCAGCGCTGCCGCGTAAGCAGCCGAATGACTCCTCTTGCCGAACCAGCTGAGTTGATCGGCCACAGCCAGATATGGTGGTAAGCTGTCCAGTGCAGCAGAGCCGAAGTCATCTAAATCGTCACTGCTCGGGATAGAGATGGGCATATTTCCGGAGGGGGCGTCTCGGTCTTCAACAAGAGACATGATCGTCTCGGCGTCATCCGCTGTCGTGGTGAAGATGCAGACAGAATCGAGGGACTCGCAGGCCTGGTCCCCATCTCGTATTCTGATAGCTCCCTTTGTAGCCCTCAATCCATATATGCCAGTGTTGATGAGGGCCGCAGGCATTCGCCCTGAGACGTCCGTGTCGGCGTCCAAGGCGAATGGGACCACGCCGAGGGCCACCACCATGGCACTCCCCGATCCTGCGCTCACATATTTCAAGTTGGCATTTGGCGCAGAGTCGTCTGGGCGGCAAGAAACGACCGACCTCGTCTCCTGCAGGTCCATTTTGATCTTCCCAATCAAGATGGCGCCTTGCGCCTTCAGCCTGGCCACCACTGGAGAATCGCTGCCGGTGAGGGTAGTTGCAAGCTCTGTAGTTTCTGGGCCGAGGTTGGATCCCCTGGCTCCCATGTTTTCATCCACGGCAAAGGGGACGCCGTGTAAGGGGAGGTCATGCTGGGAGTCTAGAGCTTGCCATTGCTCTCTTATGTGCTCATCTGTGGCTAGGGAGACACACGCTTGTGTGACAGAGTTTGCGTGTCTCTGCCCGGCCACGAGGGAACAGAGCCGCTCGAGGCCATCCCCGGCGATCTGGGCGCTCCTCCACGCGGAGATAGTAGTAGGATAGTTTGGTGGGAGGTGGTCGCTCACGCCGTTGCGGTCTTCGGGACGTAGGAGAAGATCCTTGGCCAGGTCGGGGGACGTAGGGCTGCCATTTGGGCTCGCGCTCATTGTGACAGATTACGGAGCAGGCCGCGCCGATCTGTGTGTCTGGGGATAAGGTTGGAAGGTTGTTTAAGATTGAATAATGCTGTTTGACGAGGTGCTAGTGTCTCTGATGTGTTTCTCTTCCTTGGGGAAACAAAATCAGTGTAGGAAGGAAAGAAAAGCTCACTGTTCCACAACGAAATCTGACGAAGAACCACTTATAAAAGACTCAGTCGAGAGTGAATCACAAGTTCATTGGTGACTTAGCCGTGATTTCGTAAGAACAAACAAGACAAGTGAATGGGTCGATTGGGGTGATTCATTTCGTCGTTGGGCACTTCTCGGACGTGCGTGGCTCACCGAGGCCGGACTGCAAAGAACGAAATTAATAACAGAAACAGATACGGCATGGTCAGGAGTACAGTCCATTCAATTGGTGGCGCACGAGTAGTCGCCAACCAGCCAATGGGTAGTCACTCAAAAGTCAGTCTCGGCCAACATATTGTTCTCAGAATGGGCCAGTCAGTCTACTGGGAGCCAACATGCCTAGATTTGTAGCGGACGGTGTAGCAGGTCGGACATTCTCACCCTACGTGCTGATTGACCGAGATGGAATTACAAACCCAGAGGGATCAATACCGGCAAGTTCAGGGCGGACCATCCGTATTATTAGTCGCTAAAAAGTCTAATCAGGATAACCGAGATAAACTTCTCTCAAAAAACTGTGACTCCCTCCCTGAGGTGTCTTCCAGAGCCCAGGAAACTGTTCTCCAAGATGACTCGACCGAAAAAGCCCTTCGCTATCTCCAAAAAATAACAAACGAGGAGTTCTCAACTGTGGCGCGAATCCTGACGAGGTTGACCAATATCGACGTTGGTCAACGAGAAGCAGAACTTGCTTCAAGTGGCGGACATGGTCTCTTCCGCTAAGCCGAAGGCTCTTACTTTTCCACACATCTGCACAACAACTTGAAATCTCATCAACCTCCCTTCTGCGATCAAGTCTGGCCGCCAGCTGATGGCCGCCAACGTGTGGCCTGAACGCGTGGGATGAAGCAGGCCACCTTTGCTGAGCGTTTGCTTCCAGGCCGCCAATCCTCGTCGTGTGCATCGGTGCCAAACGAAGACAAGCTTGGAGAGCCACTTAAAAACCACAATTATCGGAAAGCCTTCTTGTTCCGGCCACCCTCCTCCCAGGCTGCAACAAGCTTCACCTTGCGGCTCTTCTTCTCCTTAGGTCTAGCCGCGTCGCCATCTGCCTCCTCCTCCTCCTCCTCCTGGACCCGCCTCCTAGCCTCGACGGCCTCGGCAGCCTTGGCACGCATCTTCTCGTTACGGCGGCGGCGCAGGGCCTCGCGTGCCTGGGTGAGCTCGGCGCTGATCTCCCCGCCGTGGACGAGGCCCATGATGCGGTTGCTTGCGGCCTCCTGCTGCTCCTCCTGCTGCTCCTTGGTGATGTCGAACCTGTTGGGGTGGTGGGTGCAGAACGTCCTGTGTGCAAAGCTGCCCATGCGCATTATGTATTCGTACTCGCAGGAGCACTTGTGATTTCAGGTCAGCACGGAGGACAAAGTACATACTTAATGTAGCATGTTTTCTTTTTTTCCCGACTGACTCGGGGGTTTACTTACAACGTAGCACCACTCTTTCCCACACTCGCATACCATGTGATCACACCCGTCCGACTTGGTCACACCCTGGCCGCACTTGGGGCAGATCCCAACAGACTCGCTGGATAGCAGTCTCGCTGTGGCTTCCTCCTCCTCCAGGCGTTCGACCTGCGCATCTTCCTGGTCAAACTCCTTGCAGGTCCGGCCCTTGTGCCAGGGGCGCCGGTGGTTTGCGCAGGTGGCAAAGTCGCAGCGACTGCAGATCATCATGGGGTCATCGCTCTCATGTGGCTGACTCTCGCCGCACGCGGGATTTGTGCAGGAGATGTAGTGGCGTGGGATCTCGGACTGCTCCTCCAGGTATTTGTATCGCTTGTAGACTTCAGGGCTGGCGTACTCCCTGATGTGCCATGGGCCAAGTTTCAGGTCGCAGAAGGGGCAGGTGATAAAATGAAGGCCTCTACGTTCGAGGCTGGCTTTGATGGACGAGTTGAGACAGTCCAGACAGGCCGTTTCAGGGTGATCGCAGCGATCAGTAATGCTAAGGTCGCTTGGAAACTTGGATATAGGATAGTGCTCGAGGCAGATGGCGCACTCGATTTCTGGGCCAGCATCAGGTGGTCGAAAGGCGCCGACCTCATCGACAGAAGCAAACGGGCTGGAGTCATCCTGAGGGTAATTCACGGTGTGACCAGGTCCATAAAACACAGTTGGCCACCCCAGAATAGCAAAAGAGTCTGTGAAAGGGTTCCCGGATGTGGTAACAAGTTCATGTTGCGGAGGAAGTACATGTTGGGGAGGGAGTACATGTTGAGGAGGGAGTCCATATGGGCCAGGAATTCGAGGGTGTCCATATGGGCCAGGAGTTCCATGTATCACAGGAATTCCATGCATCATAGGAGTTGTTGCATATGGGGCGGCAGGTAGTCTTGCCTGGGTCGAAGGGGGTTGTTGTCCACCAAGGGTTTGACCTGGGCCATAATGACGAGGTCTGGGGAAGAAGGGTGGACTGCTGCCGTCGAGGGCAAAACCTTGGCGAGTGGGTGTATATGGTGAAACAGTGCCAGTCCCTGTGCCAGTGCCTTGAGCTGGTGGTGGTGGTGGTGGTGGTGGTGCACCACCCAAGGGAAAGTCGCCACCTTTTGTCATCCACTCCGTCAGCTGTGCGATCTCGCCCTGTGCAGCCTCGTAGGCCATCAGCTCGTTGGCAAGGTTGTTGAGCTGGATAAACAGGTTGGCTCTATCGCCTGGGTTGTCGGGGAGCCTTCCGTAGTGTCGGAGGAGCTGCTGCATCCTGCGGTTGTCGTGCTGGCCATAGCTGAGCCCAAACACCAGCAGCTGCTTCCCGTCGTTGTAAGACATGGTATTGATGTTGCTGTTGGAGAGGTGTGGAGGTCGTCGGCATCAAATTCGTCGAGTCGGACTGAGTGAGGGGATTGTCTGTTCAGGATTTGGACGGGGTGGACGGCCAGGCTTCGTATCTACCTGACTGGATTAATACTTATGAGGTATTTCGAGGCTTCCGAGGTTCAAGTTGTTGTTTGTGGGCTGTTTAGAGCTGTTGCCTGGTGCCTGCAACGGTCAGGTCAACATGAACAGCCTTCACATGTACCTTTGTACCTCCCTGACGGAAATGCAGCTGGCCTGAGGCCAATATGCTGAATATCAAAATGGACCAAGAGTTGAAGGTGAGGTTAGTATTAGGTTTATTGTGGGCAGCAACTTCTTCTGGTACCGCAACGATTAATCATAGGTCACTTCAAAACTTCACAGGGTTTCGTGCCCTAAGTACCAAGAGATCAAGCCTGAGGCATGCATCGAGTTGACTTGTTTGCTGTGACCCCATTTACGCAGTCAACACTGTGCATGATACGTTGGAGATACGGTAAAGAAGATGTCAACTACCCATGCCAGTGACTTGTGGCATCTCACAGACCTCTAGGTAGGCACCTAGGTACCTAACTGCAAAAGCGAGAGACGGTTCTCTAGACGGTTCCCATAAGCGCTGTACTAGGATGGATAGCAGCATTTGAAGATTGCTAAGTACCTACCCTAGGGTACCTAGGCAGGTATACAAACTGACCCCCCGAGTCAACAGTAAATATGAAGGATGATCACCTCGGCAATTAGCTATGAGAGCAATGGGAGCGAGCTGTCGGAGCTGTCGGAGCTATGGGAGCCATGGGAGCTATGAGCAGGCGAGAGCTCCCGGGATGAGGATATGTCAGGCTCGGACGTTTCAAAATGTCTCATGCCTGCTAAGACCACCTGGGAAATGCCGTTCTTCTTATACCTAGGTACCTAGATACATTCTGAAAACGCCCCGTGGGATGGCTCGAATATGACAACCAGGGCTGGTCAAGCTTGCTTCTCGTCACCATGCACGTATTGGCCATCACCCTTTGAAACGATTTGTTCTTGTCATAATGCTAGCAAAATATCGGACCTACAAAACGTGGCCGTCGTGGCCGGGCTGGACTTTTCCATGGCAGTAACCAGCATACATCCCTCGGGTGGAAGAATCGTCAGTCATATTGATGCCACCCCAGACCATCTTCAACCCAGATAACTCCAAGGGCTGTTGTAGAGCTCCACCTGACTCCTTTTCCTCCTGCGTCCATCACCTACAGCTCAGTTCCTAGCATCCCTTAAGCGTTCTCACCGTCTTGCCATTGTTGCTCCGAGATGATTTCGCGGACCTCGAGCCTCGGTAAGGACGAGCTTCTGGCAGACTGAACGGTGTGTGACTATTACCTCCTGGAGTCCCTCCTTCACACCCCTGTGAACCTGTCATCCTTGGAATCCTTATCTACCTAATCCCTCCTCGTAAATAAGCTGCCCTTATTCTCAGAAAACCCTTCCTACTTTCAATGGAGAACATTTGAAGTTTCTGCTTTGAACCGTATAAGAGATAACATGAACATTGGACCCAACCTGTCCGAATGGGTCTTGACTTGCACGGGCAGTTAGTACCTACCTAGGTACACAGGTACACTAGTGCCTTTCCTAGGTCCGCAGGCTCGAGCAAGTACCTACTAAGTACCTAGGTACCTGTGTACCTAGGTAGGTAGCTTAACGCTATGTCGAGCATAGCTGCCCAGGTTAGTTGAACATGACATTCACACATTGTGCATGGTTTACCACACCGATGCTCCAGATGACCCAAGAAGCAGATAGACCAAACACCAAACCGCTTTTCCAAGTCAGCATGATGAATATTTATATGAATAATGTGCGTCCACACATAAGGCGCTATAGTTGGATAACTTGGAGTAGATTCAAATAGAACATACGGACAAGCGTTTCATCTCATATCATCATGACCAAGGCCAACGACTAAAAGTTACTCCATCAACCGAGGTATCACAGTTCCTCATCATAGATATCAAAGACCCCCTGCCGGCCATGGGCTTCCTACAACCCCGAAATGACCCCAGACTGGTCCCCTCCAGCCCTTTCAGTGCCCAAGCCCTTAATCTGCCCCACAGCACATCACCGAAACTCACATGGTTAGCGTCCAGTAGACACGCTAGCAATATCCCCATCCCTCAGCTTCATCTGCGCCGGCATGTCAGACGCCGCGGCGGCGGCGGCAGACGACCTCCTCCTCCTCCTGAGCAGCACGAACGCGAACGCGCCGACGACAGCCAGGGACCCGAGGATGGTGCCCACGGCGATGCCGGCGATGGCGCCCTTGCCGAGGCCCCCAGACGACGAGGAGGAGGACGTCTCGGCGGCCGCGGCGTCGCCCGAGTCGAAGTCGGCGGACGTCACGTTGAAGCAGGGGACCTGTGCTGAGAAGTCTGCCGCCTCGACGAGGGTCTATTTTTTGTGTGCGTGGCGCCGGTTAGTCAGTACAGACTCCAGTAGCAGTTATGAATTCAGGTTGGAGGGACCCTGGTGTTAAATAAGAAGTGCCATGGTGCTAGAAGGGGAGAGAAATCAAGACAGAAGAGAAGGGACGGGTTCGCTGGCTTACGATATCAGCGCAGGCAAAGAAGGTCTGGTTCCTGCCGCCGTCCCCGCCCTCGCCGTCGTCGGCCCAGTACGCGAGCTGGATGGTCGCGTTGGTGCCCGCGGTGGCGGAGCTGGGCAGCGGGGCGATCTTGTAGCACTGGTGGCCCGGCTCGACCTCGGTGATGTTCTGGACGATCTGCTCCGAGAACTCGCTCTGGGCGGTGGGCTCTTTACGGGATGGTGTCAGCGACCAGAAGCACTCACTCGCTACCCTCTGTGGTGACACGGACGCTCAGATGGGTTTGAAACTTACCGTCGTCAAAGGCGATGTAGAAGGCCACCTTGTAAGCATCGTCGGCGATCGACAGGGCTACCTGCCCCTGGGCTGCCAGTGGTAGAGGGCGTCAGAGATCCCGAAAGGTAAAGCCACCGGTCATCACGCGGGCACATACTCAGAGGGAACTGGGTCCTGTTTGTGACGCCGCTGGAGGAGCCACATGGGCCGGTGTTGTCGTGCGAGGCGCTCCATGGTCTATCGCCTGGCCACAGGAAAGCAACAGGGCCCATGGTGGTACCCTGTGAATTTGCACCATGGACCTCGGCGGCTCTGGCACCGACGGCCAGGGAGGCAAGAGTTGTGAGCGTATTGGTGAAACGCATCTTGAGGGTCACTGAGACTGAAGTGGGTTTGACCTGGGATGGAAGCACTTGAGAGGACGGCGCACCAGGTGAGGAGTGAGAGGCTTGTGCTGGTGTTCTGACAGAGAAAAAGACGATATATAGGATTCTACAAGGCAATTACATGGGGCGACTGGGTCTCTCGAGTGATATGTAGCTGGAGAGGGCCGAGGGCTGCGGCAAGAGCAGCCCGAGAGCACGCGGCGGTGGGTGGGGCGTTGGCTCATCAAGGATTTACGAGACGGGCGATGGTGTGGCCAGAAAGAACCTTGGGATATCCCCCATGAATCAATCCCATTGGGCAGGCCGGACGACAAGCTGGCTAGGCTGGATGATGGGTCGGCCTGCCTGTCAACGGGCGCGCCAAGGTCCGTCTTGGGTGAACACTACATACTACTGTGTAGTAGTACATGGCACATTGCATCCAAGTCGAGGGGGGACAACAGAGCCTGGGCCGACGGACGTGAGTGGCCTGTCAAAGCGGGTGTGGAGGGTCGGTTCTCGAACCCTGACCTGGCGATTAGATGGGTCCGCCCGACATCGCTCCCCGCGGATTGGGCTTGCTCGCCTGCCAAGTCGGACGTTATCACCAGCTTGATCATGGCACATATTATGTAAAATGCTGGTTCTTGGCTCGACAGCCCTTGATTTATGGCGCCTTTGTCCCACCGATGAGTTCCCATCTAAAATCTGGAAGTGCATTGCCTGCTTTGATCGTTCATATTTGCAGGTCAACTATGGTGGCTTGAGTAACGGAAGTAGCCTGATCATGATGTTCAATGGGTTCACGATGCTTGCCTCAAATTCAACGAAGCACATAAGGACAATCCTTGGCTGATCACATGGCAAGTGGAGAAAGAGCCATTCTCGTTGGCCAAAAGTGGGTTGCATCTGGACAGTCATGGCTTGCATGAGCATGGGTCCTAAGCAACAGTAAACTGGGCCCAATGAAGCTTGCGGAGAACCTTCGATTTAGTGGTCACTATAGGTTGGGAGTCACGCAAGTGTGACCTCGGCTTTCAAAAGTGTTCCTTGTCTTGCCTGATCCCGCATCCCGAGTCAGCCATCCCATGGGACATCAATCGAACGAGTTGTCGGCAGACTTTATTGGTCGAGTCGGGAATGATAAAGCCTGGTCAGTCTCTCAGCTCTGCCTCTAAAGTTGGAGGAACAACCCATATTGTATTCAGTCTCCTCAGTGACGGATGAGAACCTGGAGAGAGAAGATCGGGAGACTGACACGCTTGTGTGGAGCACAGCAGGGAACAAACAAGTTTGCTGTTAGGCTTTTCCTCCCGCTTCTTATCTGATGGCGCTAGTCTCCTTAGCGCCCGAGCACGATGCAAAAGAGTGGAGACCCAAACTTTGATCTAATCTTATCAGATCATCCGATGGTGGCATCCCAACCGTCACCCTGTCCAATCGGCGTCGATTCGCCCCATGCTCAAGTGCTGCCCCCTGCGAAGAGAGCTCTTGGACCCTTGGCCCCAACTTAGCAAGCGGCAAGCAGAGCTCGGATCCGACTGCACGCCTGACCGTTGCCAACCACGCCATGGCCGTCTATCAGATGTTGGCTGGACGAGAATGCCTTTCTCGCCTGCGGTGCTAACTCGTCCAGGAAATTCGGCCGGTGGACCTCGTGCCTTGTTCCGGATCTGGAGGACCCGGAAGCGCCCACCACGGATATACGAGATGCCATGGCCGAGCCTGCTTCAAGTGGGTCGATCTGCGCCACCAGACTTGGGGACATTGAATACGTGATGAGAACTGAGCTTGACAGGGCTAGGAACGACGGAGTTGGTCGGTTTAGCCCGGATCAGCCGGCTCTATCAATGCAAGTGTACATATGTAGAGGATTTATATGCCAAGTCTCCACTCGTGAGCGGTCAAGGGCAGCGAGGCGGGGAGCTGGGCCGACATGATGTGCCAGTGGGCTGCGAAGCTGACCCCTGGATTCGTTCATATTAAAAGACCAATTCTCCTTTCACGTGCCATCATTGATTCCTTCATCTGTTCTTGCTCACCCTCCTTGTATGTGTGCTGACCAGTGAAACACACAATCGTAGCCGACCCTACCTCTCAAACTTCACCTCTCACAATGGTCGCCCTCACATGGATCATCAGCACAGCTGTCGCGGCTACAACCGCGCTGGCGAATGATTTCCCCGCCGCCGGAGTGTTCATCGACCCAATCCTCGCAAAGCGCCAGGACGAGACCCCAGGCTCCCCATCATACAACTGCCACGACAACTGCGGTAAGCGCATTCACACCATCTACCTACCTGCCTACCTACTTCCATATATATAACATCCACACGCACCTGGACAAGTGAATACCCCCCTACTCACACACCAATCAAACCCAGGCCAGGCAATAATAGAAGCCCGCAACTGCAACGCCACCCTCTGCGACGACCAGGTCTTCCAGAAGAACTACCAGAACTGCCTGCAGTGCGCCGGCGCGGACAACGAGGACATCTGGCGGTACTACGGCGACAGGCTCGGGGCCGCCGCCGCCGCGTGCGACCTCGGCGCGGAGCCCCTGCCCGGCGAGCAGGACGACGTCGGCCCGGCCGTGGTGGCTAGCAACAGCACCTCTGCCTGCGAGGCTGCCGCCGCCGCCGCCGCCGCCGCCGCCGGGTCTTCATCCTCCCCGCCGTCTGCATCTGCATCTGCCACCGGGGCTTCGGCTTCTGCTACTTCTTCGCCGTCTGATACGGCTTCCGCCTCGGCTTCTGATGCTGCTGCGGCGTCCGCATCTGGGACGGCCTCTTCCGTAAGTAATTTTTGTCAGTTGTCCGGGCTGAGTTGGGGAACAAGAGTCGGGCTGACGACCCTCTCATTCTGTTCCAGGCTGCTAATCACGGGCTCCCTCCCGCTGCCGGGTTTGCGGCCTATGGTGCCATTGCTGTCGGTGCTCTGTACGCGATGGGACACTGATCGAAGGGCATGTTACGGTCTTGCACTTCTCACTTTGCGTGTAGGTAGTTTTCCGTGGTTATTTCTTTTCTCGTGCACATATTTGTAATGCAAGCAAATTTGTTTTGGTGAAACAATGCTCCCGGCCTTTCGCATATCAATACGCTCGAGAAATTCATTTCATTAGGATCCGGGGTTTTTGTGCAGGGTTGGACACGGGACGACAGCTGGCAAGTAACATGATAAGCGGAACCTGGATGAAGTGACACGATAAAAGTATTTTTGAGAGATCATATGTGCTTTCCCTGATATTACTAGGTGTCTTCGAGGGGGGTTAAACTCAAATATCACGAACTTGAAGTAGCAGAGCAGCAGGGTCAAGTAATACCATAATACACGGACTTACACTGACAACTTGAAGTCAAAGAATTAACAAATGTGATTGAGATTCAACTTGGGTATTGTAAACTTGCTTCGTGATGTACTAGTAACGGGCTTGTATATACATGAGGTATTTCTCTAACATCGTATAAAACATCGTTTAAATCATCGGTATCTTCATAAAAACCCAAAAATGCCACCCCACCCAACCGGCTTTCCTCTCCGTTTGCCCCGAGCTACTCCGGCCGAAACGCCATACATAAGAATGCAGCAATACACCTGCGCACACACACACACATACACACATACACAATAAAGTGCTTTTCAAAAAACACGACTAGTTACCCTTCCTGCCCTCGGGGTCCTCGACCATGATCTCGGGGGCACCAGGGGCGCTGCCGTCCAGCCCGTCGGTGTCCGAGACGACCACGACAGGCGACTCGACAGGGTCAGAGTTGGTCCTCTGGCTCATCTGCTGCGGCTCGCCGCCCTCGCTGCCGGTGGTGGCCTCCTCGTCGGCGGCCTTCTTGTTCCTCCTGAACAGCCTGCCGACGCGGCCGAAGAAGCGGCCCAGGAAGCGGTAGACGACGACGACGGGCCCGCCGACGAAGCGGGCGACGCGGGCGAACCACGCGTCGGGGAAGAGGCGCACCGCGATGGCCCACGGCATGCACAGCAGGGCGAGGACGATGGAGACGGCCCACTGGGGCCCGTTGAGGCCGCCCTCGACGACGGAGAAGACGCGGCCGCCGACGAAGATGATGGCGACCTGGAGGCCGACCATGAGGATGTTGATGACGATGAAGAACTGGTTGCGGTGCAGGCCCTCGAAGATGTTGAAGCGGTTGTCCAGGCGGCGGTTGTTGAACTCGTTGAAGATCTGCATCCAGACGAAGGTGTTGAAGACGACGGTGCGCAGCTCGGCGTCGCTGTACGAGGTGAAGATGCGCGGCCCGGCAAAGTACAGCGTGAAGGTGACGGCCAGCTGGAAGATGGCCTGCCCGATGATCATCTTCCACATGTTGGTGGTGATCAGGGGCGCCTTCTTGCCCTGGGGCGGGCGGTTGAGGATCTTCTCCGTCGGCGGGTCCGTGGCCAGGGCCAGGGCGGCGAAGGTGTCCATGATCAGGTTCACCCACAGGAGCTGCACGGCCGTGAGGACGGACCGCATCTCCGGGTCGGAGACGGCGGAGACGAAGGCGAGCAGGACGGCCGTGATGTTGACGGTGATTTGGAACTGTTGGTGACTGTTAGTACACATGGAGGAAAGGGAACGAGCGATAGCCACTGCGAGAGAAAGAGAGGAGGAGTGAGTGAGTGCATACCTGGAGGAACTTCTGGACCGCGTCGTTGACGGCGCGGCCCCACTTGAGCGCCATGATGATGGAGGTGAAGTTGTCATCCATCAGCACGATGGCGGACGCCTCCTTGGCGACTTCAGTCCCGGAGATACCCATCGAGAAGCCAACGTCGGCAGCCTTGAGCGCGGGGGCGTCGTTGGTCCCGTCGCCAGTAACAGCAACGGTCTCGCCGAGGCGCTTGAGCCGGGTGACGAGGATCCTCTTGTCCTCGGGCGAGGAGCGGGCGAGGACCTGCAGCTTGGGGAGGGTGGCGTCCATCTCGGCGTCGCTGAGGGTCCTGAAGTGGGGGCCCTCCATGACGACGCCGCCCTCGGTGAGGATGCCGCACTCGACGGCGATGGCGCGGGCCGTCACGGCGTTGTCGCCGGTGACCATGCGGATGACCACGCCGGCGTGCTGGGCCTTCTTGACCGACTCGGGCACGCCCGGGCGGACGGGGTCCTGGATGCCGACGACGCCGAGGAAGACGAGGTTCCTGAGCACCGAGGCGAACTCGACGGAGCCGTCCTCGACCCTGGCGCCCAGGGGGGGCCACTGCTGGTAGTCGCAGTAGACGATGCCGATGGTGCGGAGGGACTGGCGGGCGTAGCTGTCGATGGTCCTGGAGAGCCCGTCCCTGTCGGGCTGGCCCATGGCCTCGACGGACATGTCGGTGATGTTGGCCCTGGAGGAGCAGTACCCCAGCAGGATCTCGGAGGCGCCCTTGACCAGCAGGCGGTAGCCGCCGCCGCCGCGCAGCTTGATGACGGCGCCCATGCACTTCTTGCCCGAGTCGAAGGGGAACATCTGCACGACCTGCTCGTTGGCGCGCGCCTCGGACAGCGACGACATGCCCAGGTGGTCCCGGGCCAGCTGCAGCAGGGCCGTCTCGGTCTTGGACCCGATGAAGGCGAACTGGCCCTGGTCCTCGCCCTCAAAGGCCGTCGAGTTGATGGCGACCGACTGCACGATGGCCTCCCTGGCGGCCGGGGACAGGCCCGACGCCCACTGGGACACGGTCACGGTGGACTTCTCGCCGCCGCCGCCCTCGGCCTTGTCGAAGCTCGTGGACCCGAACGTGCCGGCGACGACGGTCATCTTGTTGGTGGTGAGCGTGCCGGTCTTGTCGGAGCACACGGTCGTGGCGTTGCCCATGGTCTCGCAGGCGCGGAGCACGCGCACCAGGTTGTTCTCCTTGAGCATGCGCGTGGTTGCAAAGGCCAGGGCGAGCGTCACTGCCAGCGGGAGACCCTCGGGGACAGCAACGACGATGATGGTGATGGCGACGATCAGGATGTCCATGAAGGTTGAGGCCTTCGTGGGGCCATCCCGGTTGTCGTTTGGCAGGTTGGCGAGGAAGCGGAAGAGCAGCACGAAGAACAGAAGCAGCGCGGCGCTCCCGCCGAGCTTGGCGATGGCGCCGGCGAGGCCCTCGAGCTTCTTCTGGAGGGGCGTGGCCTCGACCTCGGTCCGGACGGACATCATGATCTTGCCGAAGCTGGAGTAGGGGCCGACCGACGTGCAGACGAAGGTGCCCATGCCCTCGAGGACCTTGGCGCCTGAGATGATGAAGGGGTCGAGGTCGGCAGACTTGGCCTTCTCGCCGTTCTCGAGCATCCTGAAGACCTGGTCGCCGGCGGTCTTCTTGAGCGCGTCCGACTCCCCGGTGGCCGAGGACTCGTCGCACTTGAGGTCATGGCCGCTGATGAAGATGCCGTCCACGGGGATGAGGTCGCCGGGCTCGAGGTTGACGACGTCCCCGACCAGGAGGTCGTGCACGTTGATGATGACTGCCTTGCCGCTGCGGATAACCTTGATCTCGCGGTCCTCCTTTTTCTCGTTGAGCCGCACAAAGGCCTTCTCCTTTTGCCAGTCGTTGATCGAGCCGACCCCGACGACGATGATAATGGCCACACAGATGGCGACACCCTCGATCCAGTCCACAGCTGGCGGGGCTCCCTCGGGGTGGTCCACGCCGAGGGTCTCGTACAGACCGAGGGCGAGTGAGATGACGGCGGCAACGGTCAGCAGGATGAGGACCTTGTCGTTGTAGGCGTTCCACATGAGCCTCCATAGTGGCGTGGCCTTCTTGGGAGGCAGTACATTGCGGCCATATACCCGGGTCCGGTCTGAGAATGACTCGCCGCCGGGTGGTGTTGATGACGCCTCCGCCTTTGCCTCGGTCCCGTCAACCGCCTCCTGGAACGCGATCCTCCTCCGCACACTGGTCTCGTCGATGCTCAGGCCGGCGTCGAGGTCCGTCTGGAGGCCCCTGGCGACCCCCTTGAGCCCGCCGAGCGCCCTAAAGGCCGCGAGGGACTTTGGGTTGAGCAGTTTGTTGAGCTGGCCCGGGCTGAAGGCGAACGGGTTGTCGTCGACCTTGAAGTCGCCCTCGGTGCCGGGATCCGGGCGCAGGGCCTCCTCCCTGTCGACGACATGTGTGGTGACGCTGGTGGACCGGCTTCTGTTGTTTGGGGTGAGGAAGGGGTCTTCTGAACCTGCTGGAGTCAGGAAGGGGTTTGAAGTGGTGGACACTCCTGAGGGAGAGACTCCAAGCGTACTGGCACCAGAGTCCTTGCGAACGCGTGTGTTCACCGAGAGAGATGGCGGCGCCAGGGTATTGGTATTGTTGTTGTTGCTCGCCATGGCTGAAATTGGGCGTCGGAACGAGATTATACAGCTCTTGTCATTTGCGTATATATGGTTGTGTACATGCGTGTATGCACGTCAGAGTTGATGTATAGTTGTATGTATTTAGGCCGCAGGCGAGAGTGAGGCGGTCGGGGTGATCAGGGGTGATATCGAGGACGTCCGGGCACACCCAGGCCCTCGGTCAGACAAAAAGATGTGCAGTAAATCTACAGCTGTAAAGATAAGAGCCGCAGTATAGTATAGAAAGGCTGCTGATGTTACACAAAAGTAGGCAGATATGCAAAAAGCAGATGTGGCTGGAAGTGAGTTGGGTATATAAGCAGAAGACGAGAGGAGGCCACTCAGGTATACATATGAGGACATATGTTGTGTGACTTGTGTGGATGGATGGCAAGGCAAGGTGGACGGACGGGCAGGATGAGGGCTCAAGCAACGTGAACCAGGACAGGGGTCGTTCCTGGGGAGGTATGGGTCCTTGTCACTCGACAATGGGATGGGATGGGATGTGTGTGTACACCTGGGGCACGAAAAGTGCAACAAGGTACGGAGCAGAGGGAAACCGAGAGAGAGGGCGGGAGGACTTCAGGAATCACACAACCTCAGCCAGACGAAGGCAGTGCTTGGTCTGCCTGGGCTAGGGCGGGGCAAATGTCTTGGGATTTCCTGTAACCATGTACCTGGGAGGTACATATTTCGTTGCCAGTGGTGCTCATCTCGGACGGGATATCAGAGACCCATGGCGCCCCCATGTGGCAGCCCATCGGGGCAATGAAAGTGTAGAAAGCAGAGGGGCCACAGAGACTGAGAGAGAGAGCGAGCCAGGGCGGGCGCATGTTACGCTGCAGGTTCCGAAGTGGCAGGTAAGATGCGTGCCTAGAGCTCGTTGGAGCCCCAGCGAGACTTGGCCGGGAGATTCGCGGCTTTGCACAGCCTCACTGCAGGCCGGCCAGAACCAGCCAGATGGGCAGGACGAGGAGGCCTGCCGAGCTGCCGAGCCGCCAACCGGCCAACCAGCGCCGTTTCGAGACGGCCACCTTATAAGTGAGTTTGGCCCTTCACCCGCCAAGACCCGCCTTGCCCTCCAAGCTTGCTCTTCTCTTGCTAGCGAAGGCTCCTGGGCCATGGCCACGGCCACTTTGCTGGTTGCCCTTCCTTGTGGTTGTGGCTCCAGTGCCTGCCTTGGTGGTAAGTGTTAACTCTTACCGCCTCTGGTTGCCGCGGTCGTGATCTGCGTCGCGTGTCTGCCATGATACAAGCGAAACGCTCTCTTCTCTCGGTTCCTCCCTTGTCACTCCATGCATGCATGCACGCACGCACGCACGCACGCACGCACGCACGCATACGTTTTCTCTCACCCACTCTTTCACACTCTCTCACTCGCCAAACCCACCAACATCTTTCCACCATGTTTTAACTCTCCTCTTTTTTGCCGTTCCTCCCATTTTTGTGTCTATCCAGCTCTAAACCCCCCGGCTGACGGCAACTCGAGACGACCATATTGAGCTAACACGTGGTGTTAGCTTCAAATAGATGTTCCCCACCCCACACACTATTGTAGTTTTATTAGCAGAGATAAATCCGCACACATGGTAAGCAAGCCATCTAGGTCATCAAGTCTGCATTTCGGCCGTCTAATGAGACCCAAGATCTCTCCTATGACGCCTGGGCCCGTCAGCTTGTGTATGCCACGCCTGCATTACTCATACGCTTGCCCGCTCCCGCGGGGTGCAGAATGACTCTGAGTGCTTAGCTCACCCAACAGGGCCCAAGAACCAGCCAACGATATCCCCAAAAACAGGGACACACAACCCTTGCGTGGCCAACAATCACGGTCAGAGCCGTGGCCACACGGTCATTTGACAAGCCCCCAGACAGCTGGTGCCCGGAAGGGGAACCCAAGAGGAGAGGAGCCGTAGCAGAGTAGCAGAGGGATGCGTTGTTTTCTCTAGAGCCATAAAACAGAGTTCGGAGCTCCATGCCCGCCAAGGAGGCCTTAGTGCGCGAGAAAGAGGCTGTGCTGTGAAAATCCCCATCCGCCAAGTCACTGGGCAGGTAACGATCCGCCGCCCACGGGGCCGCCCACCGCCCTTGTCCCTCTGGGTTTTGCCGCGAGCGAAATGCTTCTGGATGTTTGATAAGCTCTTGTCCTCCCAGCCCGTCGCCCGCCGCCCCGCTGTGAAGCCCGCTTGACGCTCCCACGCCGTCTCCCATGCTGCCAGTGCTGCACGAGCACCCGCCCACATCGGCAAAAATTAACAAATCTTGCCGTTGGCGCCCCTTGCTTGCCGCTCGTTTAACTACGGATCGGGCACTATTACATGTTAGGCGCCTTGGCCTGACGAAACATCACCCACGGCTCCAGGGCGCCGGAGGCGGGTCAGATCCCCCATCGTGAACCAGCACCGAGGAATTGCGTCATTGGTGCATCCCACGCTCAGTATCAATCCATTTTGACCATGTAAGTGGACAGCTTCAGACTTGTTTGTATTACCTATGGCCTTTGAGCCGGCCTGCATCACCCTCCTGCCCACGTGCGCTTGACTGCACGCAGTACCTACTCTCACTCAATTTCGCCTTCACCGTGACGCCTGAATTACATCCATCTTGGCGGGCTCTGTAAGATTTACGATGACTCGGCAATCTATTGCTGCAATGCATTGTGATAATCCCCAAATGACTAGTGTGATATAACAGTCTGCAGAAACATTGCGCGCGGTCCCCACATGCAATTGTAGTCAATCTTCACTTTGAATCAATACTCCGGATACATAGATTGTCTACTATGCTCCTAGTAATAGCACACACCAACACGGCCCGAAGCAGGAGGCATGGAGTCCAGAAATGTGCCCACGGTAGAAAATAGAACACCATGACCATGGAACGTGCCGATTAGCTGGTAGGCCAGGCACGCCGGCTCGGACATGCGACGAGGGTTTGCAGATCATCAAGAGAAGAACAACCAGAGAACTTGCCCCGGGAACTGCCAGATGGCTCCCCCAAGGCCGTGCTAGCAGCCCAGGAGTCTTGCCAATGTCTCATCTCCGAGCAAAAATTCCAGCAGGCTCCTGGGCAAAAGGACTTACCGCAAGCCACCACCTCCCGGAACCTCAGTTTCAGAATCCCACCCCCTCACTCCTCGCCCCGTCAAGCTGGTACGGGCGCACGGGGCGGGCGAATCATCCAATGTCCAAATAATAATGTTTCAATCCTGTTTGCTGTCCGCCAGCCCAGCCCTACCCTCCTACTCGCCGTTATTAGCCCCCCCCCCCCGCCGGTCCCCGTGTCTCGCTCGCGTGGGGCGTAGAAACAAATCTCGCTGGTGAGTTATCTTTTACCGGAGGGCTCTTTGTGAGCGACCCAGCGTCTGGCCCTGCCATTGCATTTGCCAAGTAAGGCTGAGCACCCTCGGCGAGGGACTCGGGGGTTTTCTCCTCACTTATCATGCCCAGGTGCTGGAGAGTCCCGGTCCCGCCTCCCGAGGTGCTCGCTCGCGGCAGCCAGGGTGAACTAGCAGTTGAATCGCGTTTCCCCCCGGGGGGGACGGGAGCGCTCCTCGTGCCTTGGCGGTTGAGGCACGGGAGGGCCAAGGCGAGGCGTTCTTCTACTACTGGTATGTAGGGGACTCGCTCTCGGAGGGCACCTTTTGGAGCGGAGCCATGGAGGAAGCTATCGCGATATCTTCTGCCCTCCCCCACTCCCCGGGACCGCACCATGCGCACCAACCAGCTGGCTGGCTCCAGCGCGGCATGATAAGTTTCTTGTGCACCGGCGACCGTGGCCGAGACTTCAAAAGAGGCAGTGCAGTCTCATCTCGCAAACGCGACGAGATTGCCGTGTCGATCTTATCACCGTCAAGAGAGTGTCTCCAGTTATTGTCGAGATTGCCGGTACTAGCATTTACGATATTAAAACACGGGCCCGATAAGCATCTCGGAAGTGCTGTGGTGCCTTGACACGGCCGGAACACCTGAGACGGTGCCGGGCCTGCTTCCCCGGCGGGACTTGAATCGGGCCAGTCTGCCTTGGCTTGGCCCATGAACTTGTCGTGAACTAGTCCAAGGCGTTTTCCGCAGGTCTATATCGGCATCGAGATAAATCTCCGGAATGCCTACCATTACAGTTCCACGATGAATCTTTGGTGTAGCCAGGCAAATCTACGTACGTACACCACTCGGCTGTGCTTGTGAGGGAATTTCATCAAGTCACGCCCTTGTCATGGATCTGTCATGGACCTTGGGGTGGCTCATCAGTGGTGCGTAACACCGCGTTTGACTCGAGCTGAATTGACGGCCGTCCACGGGTATGTACAACTATGTCGATGCCCATGTACCTTCCAAGTTACCTGGGTAAGATTTGTGGACAAGTTTTGTGACAATGCCTCAGTCCTAAGGACTACTAAGCCACGCAAGACTCGTAGACTGCCAGTCTAGGTACGATTTGGAATCAGCGACCCATGTTTCGACGATGTGATGGGATATTACACAAGACACATTGCACACGTCCAAAAGAGTGTTGTATTCCGTCAGCGATTCAATACGTTAGTCCCGGTGCGGTCGCACTGGCTGGAAAAGGCTTGGCGGCTCACACAAGTGTGCACCTTCACGTACAAAGTCCCTGCTCTGTCAGTCAGTCTGTCTGCCTGCCTAACAGGTAGTGGTGGCAGAGCCTCATTCACCAACGAAGCTTCCGAAAACTCTGTCACCACTAGTGCAAGTCTCACCGTCACGATCTCACGCCCACGGGGACCCTAGCCATGGCGCGATCCCTCTAGGGAGGAAAACACAGCCACCGCTCCGCAGCTGCCACGACTCAGCTGCAGGGACGAGGAGGCAGCACCTCCCGTCGCCACGCCAAAAGTCTACGTAGTCAAGTCCAAAAGACGTGTCGTGTCGTGCCGCGTGTTCGTTATGCCTTTGCTAAGTAAGCCACCAGCCACCGGAACCGTCTAATACACGGCGCTCGTGTAGTCACAGAGACACACAACACACAAGTCGGGCCGGGGATGACCTCGCTGGTTTCACTGAGGCCTCAGGTTCTTACCACCGCAAGAGGCAAACCTGCCAGCTGCGGCCGTTTGCCAAGAGCCTCCGCGCTGCTCCGCCACCATTTTTGTGCAGAGAGGCAATCTTGCTTAGGGTTTTTTGTGTTTGTGGTGTGTGCCGCGATATTGTCTTTTACGGTGTGTGAGACATTTTGTCGGCTGTGATATCGGGAGTTGGTCACGGGAGGTGAATTTCTCGGCAAGCGGGAGCAGCCTTGGAAAGTCTTGTCATGATTCTGTACCTGATATTCGGACAGGAGACCGATGTTATGCCAATACCATAATTTCAACGTGCACATTGGCATGATCTTGTGAGCGAAAGAAGCTACTCATGATCCTTTCATATCGGTAAGGAGTATTATAGCGAGATTTAAGATACTCACAGGCTTAGGCTCCCACTTACTAAATATATATAATAAATGTTTTAAAATTAAAATTAAAACATTAAAGATATTAAAAAACTTTAAATATATTATATTTATTAAATTATAATTATTTATAAAATAAATATTAAAATTATTATAAAAGATTATTTATTATAATAATATAATTATATATAACTTAATATATTAATAAAATATATTTCGTTATATTTATAGTAGTAGAGTTACTTATTAGAATAAATATTATTAATTTATAAAAGTTTATAATTATTATAAATTATAAAGTATTTTAATTTAATATTAAAAATAATATCTTTTAGTTTTCTTAATATACATTTAATATTATATACTTATATATTAAACATTATTAATTATATATATATATATAGATTAGGATAAAAATGAAAATAATTAAGGAAGGGAGTAGTTAAAATTAACAGGTACTTAGAATGAAGCACCGTATGAAGTCGCCATGCATCTCCTCGGATGTATATGGAATAGAAGCGAAACCACTTTGAATGTAGGCTGGGTATATTATATAGCATTGTATTTATAGCTTTGAGAAACGGACTTCTTGAATTTATCCTACTTATTACTAGATAAAACAGCCGACCACTCGTCTCAGCCATCTAGCACAGGCTGAGAACCCAACTAGCCACACAGACCGTCACAGACTTCCTTGATGAGCGATTCCTTAAAATGTCCGTCCACTGCAAAGCCCCAAGCTGGGTTCTTGGTAATGCCTTCCCATTCATTGAGCCAGTTGCGGAGACGATCGTCGTCAAGACTGTCGCGTGGCCTCAATGTTGAACCCTTCTCCCATATAAGGGCTTCCACCTTCCAATTTTCCAACAGCTTCTTCTCGTACTCAGACATTGATTGCTCGTAGATTGGCAAATGTGTATCGCCCTTCAGAGTCCACTTGTAGCCATGCTGTGATTCTGGAACTACATTCAAGTTGTGGAGTGGACCAGTACTGAACTTACGGGTTTGGTTAAGCAAGCGAACCGTTGGGTGTACTTCCAAGTTGCATCCATCATTTCTGTAGCATGCTCGTGCAGCAAGGTTGCGAACAACAGATCGTCGTCTGCCGTTGAACAGCATACGGAGCGTAAGGTAGTGTGGTAAGAACCACCAGAACGATGACTGATGAACGGTTCCTATATCCTGTGAGTCAAGTGTTGCGAATAGTAGACTGCGAGTGCATTCCGAACAAACAATACGTACCCTTCGTGTTCGCCAGGTTTCGGACGATAACTTGTCGTTTCCTGAAAGGAACCAGTTGAAAGGAGCGGTCCAGGATTGGAGTGTTGAACTGCAACAATGCGTACATCTGGAAGTCTGCCTTGCATGCACCTCGTATCTTTGATACCATCCACAGTAGGGATATGGTAGATAAGCCGGGATCCGGGTGTCCTCCGCCAACGTCCCCATGGTCACCCAAAAAGGCACACTGACTGACCGTCGTTGTTCCCGTCTCCTTCTCCTTCCATACGGTTGGCCAGTAGGTCTTTCTTTTTTCGCCCAGAGACAGAGCAAGAAACGCATTTTCGACCTGTTTCGGCACAATTCTTGCCTTCATGCGGCGTTCCAATCTACTTGGGTAGATATAAGGAACCCCTAGGGTGTCAACAGGGTCCCACTCAGCTAAGACTTTGATCTTAACGTTCTCATAGAATTGATCCTCTGCACCTTTCAATCTTTGGTACAGTGATTCCTCGTCGTTATTCACCCAATCTTCATATAATACTGGGAGGAAGGGAAGCGCACTTCGCCGCAACAAGCCGACGTCACTTATGAATTTAGCCAGGCAACGGACCGTGAAAGCACCCCGGGAGAATCCCACGAGGATGATTTCATCTTTGTTGGATCTGCCGTTGTAATTATTGCTGAGAAAGCAGTAGGCATCGCGAATGACATGACTGATGCCTAATTTCGATCAGTACTCATGACCAGATTGGTTCAGATTTGGCAGGCAAAGAGAGTACCGTACCTTTCCCTGTAGCTGCTGCGATACTACTGTCCATGCTCAAGGTGGAGCGCGTCCCTACACCGCTGGTGTAATAGACCAGTTGAGGGACACCACCAACTGTGTAACCAAGGTTTGGGTTAAACTCGAGCGGATCATATCCGTCACGGTCTACGCTCCTTGCGAGCTTCGCAACATTGGAGAGAGGTGCGACTGTTCCTGAAGCATTGAGCCAGGTACCATCGCAGCACACAAACAAGCGTTTCTTTCCATAGTTCTCGGAGACTTCCCTCAGAGTCCTCAGAAAGTCGTCTTCACTCCCGTTTAGCTTCCCGATCCTCTCCTCGTCCCCATGGTCTCGTAGACGCGATTGCAACCAATCTTTGAAATCAAAAGACCCTTCCGCGTCTCCCTGAGGGCCCTCGAAACTTGGGTTTGGAGAGTTCATGTTGTTTATATTGAAGCACGGAGAATGAGTTAACGCGTTGTACAAGGACGTGTTGAATGAGCCAACGAGTGAGGGAAGATGTAAGGAAACTATCCACGAGCACATTAGAAATGCCGCTGATAACCACAAGAAGCCTACAAGGCTCCCATGGGAGCTTTTTCCTGATTCGTCACTTCCGGCTGGTACTGCAGGAGGAGGGGGGATCGCGACTTGTTTTGTCTCGGACATACGTTGCGGGCGCTAATATTGCTGCGTGAGATCAGGCCAAGGCGGTAATTTCCGTCGTGCAGTATTTCCGCCTGATATGAATACATGTAAATATGGTACCTGACTTCACAGTTGTCCTATCACAGCCTGCGCTGTAATCCATAATAATGCAGTGAAACATCACAAAGTGATTAAGTGCAAAGAAGGGGATTATATTTTCATGCTTCCATTAGAGTGAGGTCCCCCGGACTGGCCTGAGAGTGGACGTCTTCAAAATCAGAGAAGCAGCCATTGTCGGGAGTCGCAGTTCTGGCATTCGCGCAATGTGGCTGAACGGAATCGCAGCACCTAACCGCTGGCGGGTAGCCGCCGCAGCACCACTTAATCTCAAGTCCCCGAAGCCTGGACCTCGATGCTGCCCCCTCCACATGGATTCTTGCCTGCAGTTGAGCAGCAGCTAGCATTCCAAATCCCGCCAGACTCGGAGCAGCTGGAGCTGACGGCGTTGGCATGTTCAACCAGAAGAGATCAGTACGGTGCTACTCATAAAGCAATCCAAGCCCGATCAAGATTGGGAAACGGCATGGTATCGCTATCCCGTCAGCTTTTCAACAATCCAAGTATGATCAGCATCTCGGGTAAAACTGCAGTCGAGCTGAAGGCGGAACAGAGAGAGTCTTTCTGCAGAGATCCACATTATTGCCGAAGCTGCCGGGCGCTTAGGCCCTTCCCAGATGCCGCCCAATCCCAAAGCAAGCCTCGACAGGTAAATTACAGTTCCCTTATCTATTACACTCTAGACTATTAGTTATTACTTAGGCTATTACTAAAACTATAGTTTATTAAGACTTATATTATAGTTAAAACTATTATAATTATATATTTAAAAAGATAATTTTTAATTAGAATTCTTTTAATATAAATTATTATACTATTCTTTTAAGAATAGTTTTAAATTTTATAATATTTTAAAAATTAAAAATTAATAAAAATTTAGAAATTTATATTAAAAATAAAATATATAATTTATTAAAAATAATATTAAAATATAGCCTAAATTTTTATAGATTTAATAGTTATAATTTTATTTTTTTAAACCTTTATTAATTAAGGAATTAAAGATATAAGTTAAGATTTTTAATAACTTTACCCTTTTAATAAGTATATAAAAAGAATACTTTTAATTTAAGTTAGAACTTCCTTTTTTAAAGCTTTTAATTAGTTAAAACTACTTCCTTTAATTTCCTTATATAATTAACTAAACCTCTTTTTAATTAATATTAACCCTAACCCTAATTCTTAACTTTTAATTAGTTAGTTTAAATAGAGGGTAGCGGTATATTATTAGAGTAAGTAAGTAAAGTAAGTAAGAGAGAGTGAAGTACTACTATTATAAGGCTTTTAATTTAATCCTTATTTATACTACTTTTTTAAAGTTTTTTTTATTCTTAAAAGAATAGTTTTTATAAACTTTAAAGAAACTATTTATATAATATTATAATAATTATTAATATTATATTCTTTTTAAATTTTAAATATTAAATATTTATTATTATATAAAAGTATTATATATATTTTTAAATATATATAAAATAAGTATAAAACTATATAAAATTAATTTTAATTATAAATATATTTAATATATATTATAAATTTTAATTTTATAATATTTTAATATTTTATAGATATATTTTAATGTATTAAAATATTTATATTTATTAAAATATTTATATTTATTAAAATATTTATATTTATTATAATTTTAATAAAAACTCTTTTTATATATAAAATAAAATAAATATAAAATATAAAATAATAATATATATTTTATAATTGATTTATAAATAAAATTATATTTATTTTTATATAATATTAATAATAAACTAATCACTTAATTATTAGCTTTTACTATATTATAAGCATTGTAGCAAGCTTAATTATATACTATACATTAAAGTATGCTATATAGGAAATAAAGGGTAGAGTATCTCATAAGCTAGGAATCCAACACATGACAGCGCCCCGTGTCTGAGGCCTCAGTGGCGATGCAGAGGCTGCACAAATCCTCAGGCTGTAACCGAGCACATTCATGTGCAATCAAGGCAGTGATGCGTGCCAGAAACAAAAAGTGGTGACGGTGCAAATTATGCTAGATGCTGCCTCCGGAGGCGGTGACTGGCCATGCCATGACCATCGCAGTCCAGGCAGCTAGCCATGTGCTCAGCCGACTTGTAGAGCAGACCATCAAGATGCTTCTTGTGCAGGGGTACCCGGGCACGGCTGCTTAGTCACCGTCTGGAGGCCGTCGGGGGAGGTGGTGCAAGGTGGTGCAGGGAGGGGAAGGGGCTGCGCACGGGCCACAAATCCCTATTTGTGCAGACGTGTTTTGTGTCGGCATCAATCAACCCATCCTCGTCTTGTCCGTCTGTCCGCAACACCCACAGCCTGCCAGCCTGCCAATCCTCACTTCAAGCAGCCTCCCCATCTCCATCTCCCCAGGCTCCCATCAGATAAGATGGCGAATCCAACCCAGCAGGGGTTCTTTGTTCCCGACCTGCTGGCAACCCTGCCCAACACCATCGCCTCCATCATCGACCAGCGCGTCAATGCCATCGTCGACCAGCGCTTCCAGGACATCGAGCAGCGCCTTGACAACCTCGAGGCCGTCCTCAGAGCCGAAGGCCGCCTGGCCCCACCCCGCCAGAGCCCGCTGCGAGCCCAGGTCCAGCACCACCCGCAGCAACACCACCAGCCTCAATTCCAGCAGACCGTCAACCCTCCTCCTCTGCCTCCCCAGTCCCAGCCCCACCACAACCAGAATGTCGTCGACAATCCAGAGCCCGTCATGGCCCTCGCCACCGCAAACCAGGCTGCCGCCATGACTGCCCACACTGCCCCGCCTGTCCCACAGCAGCAGCAGCAGCAACAACAACAACAGGCCCAGCAGCAACAACAGCAACATCAACAACAACAACAACAACAACAAGCGCAGGCGCAGGCTCAGGCCCAGCAGCAGCAGCAGCAGCAGCAGCAACAACAGGCCCAGCAGCAGCAGCAGCCACAACAGCAGCCGCAACAGCCTCAGCCTCAGCAACAACAACAACAACAACAAATGGCGCCGCCGCCCTCCGCAGTCCTCCACGCCATGCCCCCCATCGTGGCCATGGAGATCCCCCCCGAGGGCTTCCCCATCACCAGCCGAGCCACCATGCAGCTCGAGCTCGACCAGTTCACCATCCCGAGGGGGTACTCGATGCGCATGAGCGGCACGCGCGACATGGGCAAGGGCAAGCGCAAGATCCGCTGGATCTGCTTCCGCGCGGGCGAGGCCCGCTACAGCGAGGCCTCCAAGGCCGCCGGCATGCCCGAGCGCAGCTCGAAAAAGTGCAACTGCCCCTTCAAGTTCGAGTGCGTCGAGACCTTCCGCGACTCCAACATGTGGGTCGTCCACCACCACATCACCCCGGGCACCACCACCCACAACCACCCGCCCTCCGACCCCAGCGAGGACCCCCGCAGCCGCAAGCTGCCCCCCGCCGTCGCCTCCGAGGTTGACGGCTGGCTCAGGCAGGGCTGGCAGGTCAGCAAGATCATGACCGAGCTCAAGAACCGCGGCTTCAAGAACGTCCTCAGCCGCGACCTGTATAACCGCCGCCAGCAGCTGAAGCGCGAGGACGAGAGCGGCGATGCTTAGGGGAGGGCCGAGGACGTCGTCTGCGGCCGGCGTAGCCTTTTCTTTCCTCTTCTTTATATCATGCTAGAAGCCCGGTTTGAAATTCCCTGGAGGGTACTGTAGTTTTTCTTTCTTCCTACTTACCAGGCTTCTCTTCACCTGGTTCATCATGAGTTATACCCCGTCCTGAGCCGAGGCTCACTCATATCATGATTTGGGGCCTGCCTGCGGGGCAGTTCCGGCGGCTTGTGGTGGATCCCACACCTCTGTGTAGATTAAGAAAGGACCTCCGGTCGGTGGCTTCTCGCCAGACCACGCCGTTATGATCAATCACGTAGGCATGCTAAGAAGGTCGGACCCGGGGATGGGTTTTTTTTTCCGCCTTCGCCTACTAATCTTTCTCACACATGACTTTCATCTTCTTCCACGCCTGCAACAGTTCTTGTTCACTGGTGTGAATGTGATGCCGCGTGTTTGTGGTACTCGCTCGTCTGTCTGCCTGCCGACGCTGCTAACGACGACGACTTCTTCTGACCGACGGTTGTCCAAGGCCTCGGGGGATTTTACCCGCTGCCACGTGTAGATCCTATGAAGCAGGTGCCTGGGTCAGTCTGAGACATTTGAGCTCCCACTTTCAGCAGTCACCGTTGAAGCTGGTAGCTAGCCGTGCTGTGTTGAATTTGAACCGAGGTGTCTGCCTCGGTTGCGATGAGGCATGGCCTTCCTGCTGTTCGGGTATCTGCTGCTGACAGTGTACTGGAAGCTGTGCCGTCTTCAAAGACCAAGCGGCAAGGTTCTTCTTGGGAGGGGAGCTTCTTATTGTGACCTCATGGGGGGAAGCCCTAACATTGAAGCTTTGAGCTGGAGCTCCCTTTTATGTAAGCTTGTTGTTACATTCTATGTATGCGGACGTCACTGTGAGAGACTTTTCTGGTCACCGCCAATTGATTGCTTCCCTGGCTTTCCGGTCCATGGTGTCATCAGAAGTAATTCTTGCTAGCCTTGTTCCATTCTTTGTGTGTTTTCACCGCCGTATAAGTTGAACAGCGTCGCGGTCTGCCCAGGTGGCTTGGGGATGTATATGGACTCAGAACAAGCCAAGCGAGAGCAGCACGACCTGGACGCTGTATCCGAAGCTCCTGACTGTCTCGCCAACACCGCGTGTGCCGAGACGCAATACAATCTCGATTGCCTCTCCTCGCTGGTGTCCCTAGCTACCACGAACCCCCTTCAGCCCATTAGAAACGCCCGCGCTTGGACCCCTGCCGGGACGGATGCCCTCAGTGCCTAGACAGTATCTGTTTGCCCATCTCTCTCTCTCTCTCCTCAAACTCGTGTCGATGATTCTAGTCAGCGACGCCGTCGGGAGCGATGCCTCCTAGCCTTGTCTGTGCGGCACGAGGCTGGGGCCACATGCCCACGTACTCTGTACTGTTATTGGCACTGTATTTCTTTTTTTTAAAAAAAACACTGGGTCCTGAGCGTCTACCACTGTATAAATGTGCCGTATACGTTTATATGTAATGGTGGTTACCTAGGTACCCAGGTAGAAACGAAACCACCCTCTTTCTTCAATGATAAGGCCACCTCCTGCGGCCAGGATAGTGTGAGACGGTATCACTACCTGATCAAAGTAGACAGGATGGATCTCTTTGTTCTATGTGCAATCTAGAGGGTTGGGTGGTTGGGGGGGCTCACATACAAGGTTCGTGCCAGGAACTGAGGGTTTTGATGATAACCATACCACGTCTTCTCATCATGGATTTCAATACGAGCGGTGTCTCATAATCACATCGGTAAAGATCACAGATATAGTACGAGTCCTCCTGCGCTCAACGATTAATTGATTCCCTCTTTCTACGAAATCATTACCTAGGAATTAATTGTTCCTGAAGTCTCACAGCTCGTCCACACTGCCTCCAACTCACTCACGTTGGGGATCTTGGGTCCAATCTAGGTTGGCCTAACTGTTCTGACTATTCTCGTGGGCTTCTGTCTACCGGCTTAATTACAAGAACATCTCAAGAGTTGTCCTAACCACGCAGCCGGGCGGATTATAATCGACTTCCAAGGTTTGTAAACGCCCAGGCGGGGGGTCATTCAAGTCAGACTTGGAAGTCAAACCGAGAAGCCACAAGAAACGGAAAGATCATCACCCCCGGGCCCGCAATTCCGCTCTTCAAGGAGACCCTCCAACGCCGTCCATCAGATCCCCCGCCCCCCAATCCGCCAAATAGGAGCAGTTTGAGCCAATATCGCAATCTCCCGGGGGAGGTGGGGGGTTGAAGTGAAGTCAAGGCCGTGCCTCCCTGCCTGCCCTGGGCCTATTAGAGCCAAAAGAAACCATTTCTCATGAAGCAGAAAGGGGGGTTGCCCTACATGGTTCTCACCACCTGGGCATCTCAGAGTGAGCGGAAGCATGAAATCAACCCGAGTCGAATATCTGTATGTTGAATCAAGGCCATACTCACTCACTCACCTCACCTGAGTATCAGCGCGAGGCACGTTCCCCTTGCTTGTTCACCCGGGCAGGCCTGGTAACAGACACACCCACAAGTATCAGCTATCCCACATCACCCAGTCCAACACAAAACTACTACACCCTCCTCGATTCAAAACCGCAAGACGGGAACAGCCCGGGGCAGGTCGAGCCTCACTCAACAGGCAGCGAATAGCTAGCTCATGTCGTGTCGCCGCGAGAGGCAGGCAACGCACAGTTCATCACACAGAGCAAGTAGGACGGTGCCGCACACACAAGGTACGGGCGGTTGGTTGGCAGAGAAAAAAGCGTGCCTGAATTTCACACACAAATTTCAATGGCTAGCCTACCCTTCCCAAAGTTCCTTTCCTTTCCCATACCCAGCCCATAATACCGAACCCATACTCCTAAAGCCCTATATACACAGATTTTTGAACCGTGGGACCCAGAATTTCCCTCCGTGTCCACATCATTTTCGACCAAAGCCGTTGGATTGGCCATGTTTACTCCTTTGAAAACAACCCCCACAAATGGCTTTGCCGCCCTACCATCTGGTACTTTTTCTTCCCCTTAGTGTCCTGAAATTTGGTATTTCCTGCCCCACCTGACCTGCGCCGGTGGTGTATTCGAAAAACGTGTTCCTTGTTTATTTTCTCTTCGTCACATCAAGTCAATTGAGTGAATACTTTGTGCGTTGATTGGTTCGCTTTTCAAATGCGTTCATTGCTGTTTCGTTATGCATTGCGTTGTTGACTAATGACATTTTCCGAGGCGGGCGTGTGATTCGTGTGCACTCCTGTCGGCCGCATCCAGAAGTGAATACGTTGCCAACGGGTGGCCGATTCGTCTCAAAAAGGGGGGCGGGCTCGTTTGCCCAACGTATATTTTCGATTTCCAACGACGTTTGAAATCGGGAAATTATGAACATCGAATGCGAACACACATACGTGACCTCCTTCGCAGTTGAATGGTCCGAGAAGTGAAATTTCGTTATTCATTCGAAGTAACGTCCCTGAGGTGGAGGACGGCGACATGCCACTGTCCGGACCGTCTTCTGGGGACAGGCGTGACATGCAAGTTGTAAGAAGTTCTGAAATTCGTGTATGTGCAACGTCGAGAGGATGCGAGAACGTAGAGGTGGAATTCAGGGTCTGCACGCTCAGCGTGAACGGCGACCGGAAGTATCTTGCGAGTTTGATTTGATGAGATCAGCGTGGCGATTCGGCGTGTCGTCCGAGGCTTGACAGCGATGGTCGTGTTTGGCACCTGCAATCGCGGTGTTCGATGAGGGAGTGCCCCGGCCCAGCTCTACTCAGCCGGCCTGACCGATCTGTCAGCCCGAGCTTTGGTGTGGTTGGCATGGGTCTCGAGACATTGAATCATCAATCGCGACACTGCCACAAGCATTAGAATTGTCGGTTCGGAGGCTGGTCCAGGAACTTCGGCAGGTATGTGACTTACCAGGCCATGCGGTGCTTTTGGCCATGACGTGAGCTGTAGCTCTCAAAATCTTGACCGCGTAACCTCCAGCGACCCCGCAAAGGAATTCCATGCCCATCTTCTTCTCCAGTCCGTCCAGAACACCCTGAACTTTTCGCAGCAACTGGACGTCTTCGTCTTCCAGGAGCATAATGGCAGGAACTTGAAAAAGCTCGACCTCATCCTGACCCAAAATTCCCAGGTACTGACCAACCCTGTCCTGTAAAGTAGAAACCCACTCAGCCAAGACCTGCGCGCAGTCAAATGCACACATCGCAGACTGTGGAGGCAGGTCCCGCCGAGTCATATCAGCGAAGGTCACGCCCAACTTGTCGGCCGCTGACAGAGAGTCAGCAGCAAAATAGGCTGCCTTGCGCAGATGCTTTTCTCGTCGTGACGTGGTCCGACTAGCCAAGGAGGGTTGTTGCATGTGCGACTGCCCAGAACTGTCCAATAAGCCAGCACCGGCACCCGTAGTGTCCATGTGATCAAGACTGTCGGCCACGGCAGGCTCCGCATTGGGAAAAGGTTGCTCGGCGTGCTGGACAATCTCACTCCCGCGAGCCAACTCCTCGGCCATCCCCTCCCAGTCGCGCTCCCAGAACTGACCCTTGGAGCGGGATAAGTTTACAAAAAGACGCACGTAAGCCAAGTCCAACAATGGGATGCAGTCCGCAGACAGCGGGCCCTTGCCAAAGGGGTTCGGCCTTTTGGCTGAGTGGTGAGGGTTACTAGCCCACGCTGCATGCCAGGCCTTGAGGGCAGGCTCAATGTGCCGATGCATCTTCTCCGTCTCTTCGTTGGTCCAGATGTTGCTGTGATGTCTCTGCCTGGTCTCCCAGATGTAATTGTGCAGCGCGTTGATCAAAATGAGGCAGCCAAATGTGCTCGGCCTGAGAGTCGTAGGTGGAAGGTCGCTAGAATTGAATGTATACCCACTGCTCATAGAAAGCCTGCGCTGCTTCTCATTTGTGCGCAACAAATCGCCCAGGGCGTCGTGGAAGGTGACACGGTTCTGCTCGGCTGCACTCACACCCCCGCGAGCGTTGAAAACGGCACTCGTCTCGGCCTCGTAAAATTCCTCGTCACAAGGTAACTCAAGCAGGATTTCCGAATTGGTGAGCGCCGGGGATTGGTTATAAGCAGAAACCAGCATACTGGAAAGAATGAAGATAGCGTACAAGGTACGCTTTCGCTCCTCGGTGACCTTCCACCTCAGCCATTCGGCATGATCGTCAGAGGCGTCGCTCATTTTGGTGTCTTGTTCGGCCTGGTTAGGCGTTGGGCGCAGCAGGTCCGCCCCCTGGGCCAGGCTGACCAGTGCTGCACAGTGCGTCTCGGCGATCTTGCCAACAAGCTGGTCCCCGCAACTGTGGCCGTAGACGACATTGAGCAACATTGACTGGACGAGCCACACGGGGGTATCTGTAGAATTGTCCTGGGGCTCTTGCGCATCTTGCTCGGACGAGGTCCCTCGGAACCCGGCTTTTCGGACGTTAGCTTTCCTTCGCTGTTCCAAGTAAGTCTGAATCATCTTCTTGGCCATCTCAAACAATTCTCGAGCGCGATCATGCTCTTTCTCGTACAAAGCACCGATTGCGGCCATGGAGAGCACCAGGCACGCCGATCCACCAATGCTGCCCGAATCATTCTTAGCCGGTCGGGCTGGGATCTCGAAGGACAGTGTCGCGATGTGGAGGAACGGTAGATGAGGGTGGAAGTACGCCAGGTAGGCGGCGACGTATCGTTGTAAGCTCTGCGTGTTGGGCAGAGTGCTGGCGGGGTCCGGCGACCCCTTGGCATGCGCGCCAGAAGTCGTGGGGTGGACCGAAAAGGAGGATCTGCGGTTGGCAAGAGTCGAGCCCATCGAGGCTGTGGACAGGGCACCTAGGATGGCGTTTCTTGTTGAATCAGTTATTGTCGAGACGGGTGAGGTGCCATGAGTACTACCATTGATCGAAGTCGGCGTCTCCGGGCCGTGACCAAAATTCAACGTTTGGTTCATGTTCTGAGCATTCAGACTCGACATTACGGAGGGCGAGCCCGAGTTCATCGTCGATGGCGGCGGGGTGAAGTAGGCGTCGTTGAGCATGCCGTGCTGCATTGGGTGTGGCGAGACGGGGGCCCCGGTCATGAGGTCAGGGAAGACATGGGTCGGAAAGTCAATGTTGAAAGGATTGCCCATCTGAGGGGAGACGATGCCTGGGGCCCATGTAGAGGTGGTGCCGGGGGCCGTTGTGGCGGGATTGTTGGAACCATCGATCATGGCGTCGCTCATGCCACCGGGGCTGGCAGTGCTGATGGCCGAGGAGGACGAGCCGTCGACAGCATTCTCGTTGAGGTTGTTGAAGGTGAGCTGCTGGCCAAAGTCGGTGATCAAGAATTCCTCGAGTCCGTAGTGGGCGCCTTGAGATGACAGGTCCGGCAGGCCGTGGAAGACGGGCGACAGCGGGTCGACGCCAATCGACTGTGGAGACTCCATGCCGACGTGGAGGGCCTGAGGATCAATGGTCGGGGCAGCAAACAAGTTGTCCATAAAGTCGTGGCGGAAAATGGCGTTGGGTGGTGCGGTGCGCAGGCCCGGGTCGTAGCTCAGCCCATTCGTCTCCAGCTTGGGAAGGCCGTGTTGAACGCCGCGGTGGCCCATGACCGAGGACATGCCCTGGAAGGGGTTGTGAGAGTAGTGAAAAGGCAGGCCGATCAGGCTGTCGTGGCGGCTGTGAGTGTGCGGCATGCGTCCGACCGGGCCATTGGCGGCCCCGGCCATCATCTGTATGGCGGCGCTATCAACAACACTAATGGTATTGGCCCTGGGCCTCATGGACGCCGGGTTCGGAGGAGCACTCTGAACGGGCCCGGCGACGCTGTTCTTGCGAGCGCGACTCTGGCCAATGGTCACACCACTTGCGCTCTCGCGGCGGTTGCGGGGACGAGCCGAGGGCGCCGTCGACTGGTGTAGCTTCTGCTGGTGGCGGAGGAGCAGGTCGCGCCGGGCGAAGCAGCGCTTGCACTCGGGACACTCAAAGGGCTTCTCCTTGGTGTGGGACCTCTCGTGCCTCTTCAGATGCTCCAGCCGTGCAAAGGCGCGGCCACAGGTGGTGCAGCCATGAGGCCGCGGCTTATCAGTCTTTGGAGGAGGGAAGTTTGCAGTCGGAGTCTTTGTGTTGACCGTAATGGTGGATGCCTCTACTCGTGGGAGTCACAGATTAGCCACCGTACAAGGCCAAGTTCGCAGGGACGATAAGAAGGGAGCAGGGAGCAGCAGCATTGCATTGCGCGAGACAGCAGGGGAAAGCAGCACACGGGGACGGATAGTTGGCATACCAGCGTCATCGCCCTGAGGAGCAGCAACATCTGGGTCGGTGGAGGGAGGAGAGTTGGACATGTTGGCGGTCGACATGGCGGCGGACTCGATCTTTGGCCCAGCGTCGTTGCCCATAGTGCTCGAGTGTGATTTGTACAGGATATGGCTTCGGAAGAAAAGGCGCAGGGAGGTCTGGCTCGGTCGGATGTGGTTCTCTGTGGCGGGAGATGGCCAAGGGAAGCAGTCGAGTGGCGCAGCGAGACAGGCAGTCAGGCACAGTCAGGCTGGCAGACAGTTGGCAGGCTGGCGGCGGCGAGGCGAGTCTAGGAAGAAGTTGTATGAAGACGAGGGAGGAGGAGGAGGAGAGAAGAGAGCCGGTTGGGAGAGTATACGATGCGTGGATTTACTATCTCATGTCCTCTGCCGGAGACGTAAACTCGACGGTTAGAGTGAGAGGTTGGTGGGGTCTCAAGGCTGCTTGCTCAGAGGGTTGACAGCGACACAGCTCAGCCAAGTGCTGTGAAGACGATGAGCAATTGGACGAGACAGGGCGAGCAAGGAGTGAAAGAGAAGAGGTGAGGTAAGGTGAGGTGAGGCAAGGCGAGGCAGGTTGAAGGAGTAGAGTAGAAGGAGGAGGATGAGGATAATTGGGTGAAGAAGAAGCACCGACAGGACATCCGCGGTAACAGGAGCAGCAGCGAGCAGTAGCAGTATAGCAAGACGAGACAAGACGACGAGAGGTCGAGGTGACTTGCCTGTAACATGCGTTCTGGGCTGCGGGTTGGGGAAGGGACTGGGAGCGCCGCACGTACCGTCAACGTACCACCTGCCGACCTCAGACCAGCAATACCCGGCCAGCCAGCCAGCCTTTCTGTCGGCTCAGGTCAGATCCCCAGTGTGCCAGCCTGCCAGCCTGCCAGCCTGCCACTCTGCCAGTTCCCCATCACCCACGACCAGGGGGGGAAGGTACGAGGGTGTGCATATGGGGTCGGCACTGTGTGGGATCAGGTACCGCAGTACACCCAGCACCCCCCTGGATGCCTGAACCTTGGGGCCCATCTGCGCCAGGGGTGGGTCTGAGGCCCTGGTCCCTGCAAGTCACGCCGCACTTGGCTTTTGCAGCAGTCCGACAACGACCAAGTCATACCGAACCTGGGTCTGGGCGAATGAGAGCTTGGTTAAATATGGGTTGGGGCTAGAGCATGGTGCGGTAGGAACGGTGCCGTGTAGAGTTGGGTACTTTTCGGTGCAGCGGTGCAGCAGTAGAGCAGACGTTGGCCGTTCAGTCTCTCCCTCCTTCTCTCTCTGTGTCCCCTCTCTCCGCCCCGTTCCCTGTCTCTCTGTCTCTGTCACGACGGCTTCAGGTTTGACATAGCAGGAGACACTAATGACTCGTTTTCAGAAGAGAGAACAAGAGGGACACAACGAATAGCAGACAGGAGGGGAACGGTGGAGGAAGCAGGAGAACAACAGCAACAATAACAACAACACTTATTAGTAATACCATACTAACATGTGTATGTATGTATACAACGTATGCACATGCACACTGCACGCCCACTGCGTATACGATTTATACCACAGAGACAGCCAAAGTAGGTACATGCAGAGGGGACAGGGCAGGAGTGGCCTCAGCGCTAGGCACAAGACCGTGGTTGGTCAGCCTGTTGGTTGGCTAGCTCGCCAGCTTGCCTGCTTGCCTGCTGCTGCTTGCGTGGGAAGGATGAGGATGGGAGTACTGTACGTGACACCTGATATGGCCCCTCCATAAAGATGCGGCATACAAGGTACATCCAAAGTGGATCGCCCGCGAGCCTTCTCCCCTTCTCCCTGGCCAGCCAGCCAGCCTGGGGCCCTGGCTCTGCCTGACTGTCTGGCTGTCTGGGCACGGCTGAGCTTACATAACCCCCCAAAAAGAAGGTCAGCAGGTCCGACAGAGCTTAGACCATTGGGCCAGTTGGGCAGGGTCGCTGACAGGGACATGGGCAGAGACATGGAGCCTCCTTCCTGCCCTTCCGTCCTGCCCTCCCTTCCCTCTCTCCCGACCGGCGGCATTGCGGTCTTGCCTCGCTCTGGATGGCCAACTCAGCAACCGATGCTAGCGTGGACGGTGTTGGGGAGGCTTGGGAGGTAATAAGGGAATAAGGAGGCAAGAAGGACATGCCCCTCGAGAAATGTCCCGGCGCAGCCTTCCCAGCTTGCCAGGCAACTAGCCAGGAGATCAAACAACGGATGACGCGCCGAGGGAAGGACAGTACTATGTAGCAAGTAGCCTCGTGCCTCGTGCCTGCCTGCCTGCCTCTCTCCGCCAGTCCGCTTGTACGGGAAGGTGGAGGATGGTGGGAGATCCACCTCGAACCACAGACCAGTACAGAGTAGTAGTAGCAGACCAGTGGCAGACCACCGACCACCGACCACAGACCTCAGACCTCAGACCAGACCAAAATGCACAGGCACAGGCACAAGCACAGGCACGAACCAACAAACAAAACACAAGGGCCATCAGCCACCAGCCATCGCCCATCGGACGAAAGCCACCAGGCCAGACCAGCATGCCTCGTGCTCATCACCAGCGAAGGATCCCGCCAAAATCCGGATACGAGAGAGAAACTGACCTGACCGACTGATGACTGACTGCCTCACTGCTCTTTGCTCGCTCAATTGCACACAGCACAGTCAATCGTACAGTACCCAAGGCGTCAAGCTTGAGAGACCTTTGCAGTCAGGCAGTGGCAGCCCACTGCGCTCTCTCAAATGCCTGCAACCTGCAACGTTGCCGCCACAAAAAAAAGAACTCATTTACACTTTCGCCCTCATGCAGACGGCCTTGCGTGCCTGGAACATCCCTCCAAGCCCGTCGCAACCAGCGGCCCAGCACAATCAATTCCCCAACCTTGTTGAACCCGAGGCAGAAAGGCCCTTTGCGACCTTGGCCAACACGACTGGGGAATTCACTGTCGCAGTTGTCGACCCCCCCACCACCGCCTCGTCGCCTCGCCGCCTCGCTGCCCAGATGCTTCACCCTAGGCATTTTGGCAATATATCTTGATGTACGCACAGATGTGACACTCGCAGCGACACATCTTCAACAGCAACTCGCCGCCGGCTTGTTCGATCGTTCTCTTTTTTTGTTCCCCTCACCGTGTCTCCCACATGGCATTCCGCATGCAAGACAACAAGCAGGCTGGGTGCCTCCATGCAAATGGGCATCGTTCCCATTGCACACCGGTCATCGATCATCTCAACTTTCGATCTGGTCGAACAACCCGTCACGAACAACTTCTGCATTTCAGGATGCCTGTTGAGACCGACATGCCTAGGTACTCTCTCTCGTCTTCTGGGGGATAGCAGTGCGTACAGGAGGAGCCAGAGAGAGACCCTCGGCACAGGGCCAAAATTGATCAGCCAGGGGTGGTGCTCGATCAGCTCACCATGGCGCTCGTCTCTTCTTAGCCTAGCTGTGGTGCGTCTGGCCGCTGCACATCGTGCCGCCTTCTGGTGTGGCGCACAGTGCAGCGCTCGGCGGCAGGGTCCTCAACCACTGGGCGGCATGCTCCCACCCTTGACGTACTATCATCCCCAAGTTTTGTGTGTGGTCATGGCTTTCTAAATCTTTGGTAAGCGAGGCCTGACCTGCGAGGCTCAGTGCCAGAGTGCCCAAGGTTTCGCTCCAATCGCCATGGTACAGTACCCAGCACCGGCCGCGACACACCCGGCCGTCTTTCCCAACAAGTAGCCGCCGCACACCTAAGGGCCTCAGGGAAACAGCACCCGCGCGGCACTGATCGCAGCTGAGTGTCGAAAAGGCATGCTCCAGCAATCGACTTCAGCCATGCAAGCCGGAAGGGCCAGCCAGCCAGCCAGGCAGCCTTGACAAGCCGTCCATATCGAGCTTCCACAACATTACCCGGGCCGGTACATGGGAGGCTGAAGGCGCCGATTGTCGTCGCCGCCCACATAATATGCCTCATTTGGCAACCCGGCTCGCTGTATTGTGGTGGAGGATGACGCTCGTTCTAAGCCGCCCTAGCGGCTCTGCTAACCTCCATCCATCATCACCTTCCACTGCCAAACCTCGCAGTGCAGTCCAGACTCACCCGCGACCCTACGTCACCCAGGAGCTGCAACGAACGAGGTGCCAGCTCTCTCGACTGGACGATGACTTCGTGCAGCATAGCCATTCGCTGCTGCCCAGGTTTCTAGTGCGGCAAACGTCAATTAGCTGGGCAGAGTCTGGTCCCTTGGTCCCTTGAGTTTCCAGGCCGCCTCCCAGGCTGCAGGTCATGGACTAGCAGCGCCGGCACAGTGCGCGAGCTGCTGCTCGGCTAGGCAAGGTATTGCAAATGTCACCTGCAGGAAAATGGCTAATCCGTAGTGTCGCATCCCATCCAGCCCCCGGGCCCTGCCACCTGGGCAGTGACAAACCCTGCCAGGTCACTGGCCCCAAGGGAGAGCCGACTGTGGCTCGCCGTTGGCAAAGGATTTGCCCACAAATGCTCAAAGGTGAAAAGCTTCAGCCAGGTATGACTTCGCGGCCTAAGGTTGTCCACGACCTCAGCCGGGGCCGCCTCGAGAGTCTCCGGGCGGCCTGGGCCTGCGCCTTGGTTGTTTTTCCTGGCCCTGAGCTCCAGCAGCATTGGAACCACGGGCCCGAAGTGCATCCGTCAACTTTCAATAAATAAAGGTAACATCCGGAAGGTAAGCTGCTTGAAAGGATCCGCCGGATTGGCTACTCTGCCGTTGGACAGATGAGACGTGCTGCTGGTCTGGTCTAGGCACACGGTGTGCACAGCAGCAACCATGGTCCTTGCACGCAGTCGCTGGTGCTTGTTGGGCGAGCGCTGTTGTGTGAGTCGGCCAGTTAGGCTATCAAACCCCTGGGATTGATTGCATGATCTGACCCGAAGCGCACCTCGAGTGCGATGACGTCGAAAACGTTTCTGAAGCTCTGGATCGAGGCCAATCCGTTCAACGTCGGGAGAAAATAAAGTGGCCGTCCGGTGGTTTGATCCGCAAGGAAGGTATTCCAAACCACTGATCAAGCAAGCAAGCAACGCGGCTCATGTTGCTCTTCTGCGTGACGGCACACAGAGGTCCGGTGTTTGTTGTCTCCGCTGCTGTCGAGATGCCGCAGACAAGCTGCTTCCAGTAGGGCTTATTACTGCCTCATGAGCGAGCAACATCGGTCACACCGTGACCCTGTCACTGAGACGCCAGGCTGGGCGTGGACCGCTATGCGCAGTCTCACTGGGATCTCAGCAGTTTATCACCGCATATGCACGCTCCCATGCTCCACCAATTCGCCAGAGGTCCGGCTTGTTCGTAAGCGCTACAGAGGTTTAAAGACTTGCGACATTCAGGCCTTGTCTCCATCCGTCCAAGGCGTCCAATAGCAGTCGTGGACATTTCTGCAGGGAGACCGACCAAGACAAGGGATGCAGGCCACTGTTTGGAAGCACTGGACAAGCATTGCCGAAGTCCAGCGGATCAGCTCAAAAAACCTACGATCGAAGCTAGGGACACGCGATGCAGGGCAGTGATGTGCGGCACTCAATGCAACTCCCATGAAGTGATCGGGACTGATTGAACATCGGATGCTCCCACAACCGTGTGAGATGACACGAGCGGCCGCACCAGCCTCGCTGACGAAAGAATTGAGCCATCCGGTCGTGATGCAATTCCCTGCCCCCAGTCTCCCTCTTTCACGTGTCCAACCGCTCGAGGCAAGCCAGAAAGAGCTGGGCGGCCCTCCATCTTCGGGCCGCTCCCATCTCCTGGGCCCACCACATCCTCGCTGCCCCGGTTTACTATATCGCTCACAGCGGTCCCTAATCATCAGGTCTGAGACTCGACATGCCTGAAACGTCCAATGCGGATCCTGGGCTCCTCGATGCAGGCATGTCGATATCCACAGCGGGCGCTTATCGGACTCTCAGGTCGAAAGCTGGCCTAGGAATCTGCATCTGCCCCCTCTGCCCCGCGATCCGGAGGGGCATTTCGCAGCTTTGGAGTAGCTTCTCTCCGATGGAGGGGCACTTTTGTGTTGCCTCGATGAGCAGACTGCGCAAGTTGCAAGCTTTTGGGCATTGAATTGAAAGCAAGTCTCGGCCCTGGACGTGGAAAAGCATCAATGCACATTTCGGTGAGGGAAACACACCGACTTTATGAGCAATTGAGCTGGCTGGTCATCCCAATTCCGAGGCTCGAAGGATGCGACATTTCACGCTCTGCGGATCCCCGCCAGATGAGCCAGCCATCCAATCTGGAGCTGGCACCAAATGCCCCTCCATCTATCTGAGGTTGACAGGGTGCTGATAAGCCAGAGCTTCGAGGACACCTCTCGACCCCTCCATGCCCCTCCAAGACCTCGATACCTGGCAGCTGGACCCCAGAACATGTTAAGGGGGGGTGCCCCTGCAATGCACGGCCAGGGATGTGAGGTGTGAGCAGCACAGTGCCTCCGAACGAGCCGCGCCTGGTCAGTCCAAGTCACCGGTCACACGGCGCACACCTGATTTCTGAAGGATTGTGCAGAGAGAGGCCCAGCCGGTCTCGTTCAACATCCCGCTAACGCACCTCCCCTGGAAGGCGGCTTTTGCACAGCCTCAACGACGATGGACACTTCCCAAAGCCGCCAGATCTCCGATGTGTGGACGGCAATGCAATGTCCATCACTATCAGTTTCAGAGTTGGCGCGCCTCGTGACGCGGATCCCCGTCTACACAGTACACAGTCCACGGCTCCCGCCTTCCAGGACAGAAGGAGGACTGACTGGCCGCCCCTGCCTCGCTGCCTCGCTGCCAGCCGAGTGCGTGTCTGTCCAGATGATGGGATTATGACAGCTGAGACATTTTGCTTGAAAATCCGCTGCCCAGAGACGACCTTGCACCGTGCCGGCACGCATGCAGGCAAGCAGACACTGCATCGCTGGGAACCTTTCCCGTCAGGTTTTTCAGCCACCAAGCAAGCAAGCTTCAGCTGGCCGTTGTTACTGCGCCCGTCTCTTGAGGTTCGGGCCAAGGCCTCTTTGTGAGCGCCGAAAGTTTCGACACACAGACTCGCTTCATCCTGTCCGCCTGCCAGATCCTGACCTGCAAACATGCGGTCTGCCAATGTGCTGTCGTTCTGCAATTCTTGGCAACATCTATTCAGCACAACTCTGGTGTGACTGATTGCATAAGGTCGAATTTCACAGAAAGCTTCGCGGTGTGGATTTGAAGGTGCACAAGCTAAAGTGAGCTTCTCTTGGCCGTGGAGAATCTGGCATCGACCCAAATCGCTTTCGTCTTCATCGCGTGCTTGAAAGGCGACGGTCCCAGGCCGACTTCTACTGTAATTCATGCCACCGAGACGGGACGATGGTCAGATGCGCATATCTGAGGCATGTGTTAGCCCGGACTAGACGGCACAGTCGTCTCACAATTGTCTGCAAGCCACCTCAGCAGCGTCCAAACGCGATCTGATTATTCGCCGACTTCGTTTATTCCCGCGTTAAAGGTCGAGCCATTTCTGCAGCCCCATGTCGCCATTCGTTCTGGCCCTCGCTTGATCGTCGAAGTCTACCCCGGTTATTACAGCAGAGGTTTCTCGATATCCCCGACGCATCGTCAGCAAATAGTCTACATGAGTTTGCAAGCCACCGTCATACGCCGCTTCAAGAGCACGGCAGGCGTGGCAGGCGTGGACCAGCCGGACCCGGACAATTCTCACGTGGTTCGCACGCCCACGAGCCACACCGCGGCAGCTCCACGACAGTGTCGAGGGCTTCTCCTTTCTCGTCGATAACCCTCCCACATCCCGACCGGACAACAAGCAACCATCAGCAGCGAAATCAGTCGATACGAACTACACCCTTTCGCACACAGGCTCGCGCAGAGGATGTGCACGTCACTGTGGATTCTGACTACCCACAAACAGCCCTGCCTGTCCAGGTAGAGGCAGCGCAACCGCTCCGTGAGATCACCTCTCACGTGCAGGCGGCCAGAGTCTTGCCGCGATATATCAAGAGAGCCCACGCCCTACACGAAAGCATTGTCGAATCACAGCGCTCCACAAATTGCATTTGCAGGCCGAATATACTCCGAATCTTGATATTATTGTTGGCAGATGCAGCAAGTCACACAATGCTACTCCTTTCGGAGTCGGCGGCCGCTCTCGAGTCTGCGGGTACCCCAAGCCTTGGGATGGCGGCGACCCCAATCACCATTACTTCGAGGGTACTCCCCCAATGCCCAGAGCACTTGGAGATGGACCCTACCTCTCGAGTTTCCATTCCTCTTGTCTCCAACCTGAACCAAGGGGCATCATGTGGTTCCCGTTTGGAGATGATGGGAGAATCCCTGCGGGCCTCCAACATTACTCCGTACCTAGTGTAGAGCTGGAGAGCCAAACCCTTGTGCCCCTGTCTTCCCCAGACTTTCACAGAATGTGGAAAAGTTTCGGACCCCCTACTTACCCGCCTTCATCTCCGAACAGGGTAACGATGGTCGACCGTGCAGCCGTGCGGCACCGAGCCTCGAATGGTCTCGCGGGAATGATTTCTCCAAATGGTGACACCCACAATAAAAGGAAGATTACTCCAATGCGAGGGTCCATCTGAGAAGGTAGGTATAGTCACAGTATTAATGATTGGGGGTTGTTTATCCTCGATCGCAGAGGTTGGGATTCTAGTCACCATTGGTTTTTTTCTACGCGAACTCGAATTGGATCGAGCGTCGCCTGAACTGCAACCCTCCACAGTTCTTCGACGCTCATCCTGGGACGGACATCAGGCAGCCGAGCAGGCTGGCAGGCAGGTAGGAGCTCTGGTCTCGTCTTGGTCTGTGATGCCCTTGGACCCTCCCTCGACGATACCTTTCAGGGATCTGGGATCAAGACCCCACAGCAGGACGATCACCACACAGGCTGACAGGACATTGCGGTACGAGTTTCGTGACCGCCAATGCTCATCGAACTTTGCTCGCCTTTTTTTTTTCTTACCGAAAGGCATCCTCATTTCTTTTCACGGGCTGGTTCGCTGACGTGGAGCGGAAAGCTTGTAGCCATGCCTCTAGCTACCACGGTATAAGCTTCCTGTTCAGAGCGCAGCGACGGCTGGCTGCGTCGAGTAACTCGAGGAGCTTGCCTCTTACGGACGGATGGGTCGTTCCCCAATTTCGCCACCCTTGCAGGGAAGAAGCTTTTGGGAACAAGAACTCTCTGGCGCTGCGGCTTCGTTTGTCAGTGATTACACAGGACGTCATTTTCAGAGTTGCTTCAGGGCCATTGGCCACCAGCTTGGGATGGGGGTGGACAGTCTTCCACCCTTCCAGGCGGTATTGTTTGACTACCGCTGGAGCAAACAGTCAAGGTGTGGTATGTCTATGTGTGTGGGGGCACGACCTACCGCACAGCGGTAGCGTGTTACTCGGTACGGGGTCAAGGGGGCCCTTGGCTATAGCGGTCTCTACCCCGGAAAAAGGGGTGCTTAGGGCTCCCCATGCTAGCTTGTCCAGGATGCGGGATGTGGGGATCGGTGCTAAACGAATTGACGAACCACTCCCATCCCAGGTGGGCTTTCTCATTACGCAGCAGGTGATGTCCCATCGGACATCATCCGCTGCCTTCCTGCGCGGCTAGTGCTGATGCGTCGCAACTTACAATGCTACTGTGCCAGTGCCGGGTGCTAAGAAGGGGACGGCGCCATCGCGAAGAAGCTGGGCCCGTTGGGAACCAGGAAATATCCTGCTTCCCGCTTGGCCCTTGCAAATGCCCGTCGACTACCGGCTCTGGGCGCCAGGCTGGTCGTCTTGGGGCGTTTGTTTCCAGAACACTGAGTGACTGAGTGGCTGGCTGGCCGGCTGGCCATGCGCTCACCCTGTCTGCCACCTTGCGGCGGCCACCACTTGAGCACCTACATAGTACCCAGCATCGGGCCAAGGTTTGGGAGGGCGCACTGACCCCGTCCGATGGCGATGGAGATCTAATATACTCACCACTATTTCCGTAGCTTCGGCGTCACGGAAATGTTGCCATCCTCTTCCAACGTGGCAGAGGCGTGGTGGGCAAGGCGAACCGGTCCCTTGCAGTTCTCCCTACCTGCGGGAGAACGTCCAGAAGCCAGCCGGTGGGCTCGCTATGCCATGAACGCCAACTGGTCTGTACTGTTATCTGGGCCCGAGCTCGGACTGACCCTGTCGCCGGCTTTCCACATCGAGGGCCCCACGCGGGCCAGAAGACTGAGTTATGTCGGCTGGGGCTGGGGTTCGCTGATGAGAACGTACCCCGTACGGAGTACAGTACACAGTATCAGGTGCCCAGGTGGGCGAGCAGCGGGACCCGCCTCCCGGCAGCCAACCAGCGCAGGCACCGGTCAGTTAACGCTTCCGCATCGGAGCTGCCCCGAGCGCCGATTATCATAAGCGCAGGTGGGTAAGGGCGGCGGCGATGGGACGAGCTATTTTTTGATTCTGCGCAGAGCCGCAGGCCACGCTAACCTTGCTGCTGTCGTCTTCGGAAGGGGAAATTGATGCGCTCTTAATTCCGGTGGTAGGTGGAAGCAGGCTGCCCAGGTCTTTTCCGCTTCCGTTTCCGTTCAATGTTCCTCGTGGCTTCCCGCAATGTGTGTATCGGGGGGGGGGAGAGGGCAAAGGGTTCTGGATGACTTGACAGTGATCATCACGGAAAAGTTCGTGATTGGGAAAGTCTGCCCGTGCCTGCAGAGAGAGAGAGACGGGGGGCATATGACGACTCATATTGCACGACAACAGAAATAGCATCAGCGTGTCCTCGATGCTCTGGGCCAGCCAGCCAGCCAGTGGGCAGCCCTCGTTGAACCACTTGCGGGGGCTGCCAGCCTGCCTGCCTGCCCACCGCACTAGGGCAAGCAGGGCGGGAACAAAGAAAGACCCGCCCGTCTGTGGGACTCTCCGACAATAGCCCGGTGGTCGAGGCTAGGTCGGGCCCTGGGGGCTTGGCCTTGCTGCCGCCGCTGGGCCCTGCTGCCGCCAACGGCTGTTTGTAGCCTAGCCCATGTCGCCGCCGGCGCGGTCGTGGGGTGATTCCTCGGGACGGCGGAAGGCCGGGGTGCTGTTGTGTGTCCCGGCGCACTGTGAGGTGAGGTGGATGAGAGGGCAGCTAGCTGCAAGCCTACATGTTATTTGACGTGTATCAAAATCGTTGATGCCCTCGCCGTCATGTTCGCTGTGTTCGCGGGGCCCAGGCCAGACCAGACCCACGCGGTGCGAGACTATGACGATGGCCGACAGGTTGTGGAGAGCTGGGCAGGATAACGCTGCAACCTGCACAAAAAGCCACACACATACATACATGCGATACGCACTTTGCACGGGAATGGGGGGCGTTTTTGCAGGCAGTGGCGAAACGATGGCGCATGCTCGTGCAGCCGGGCGCGTCGTGAGAGGGACGACGAAACAGGTCCGGTTGACCTCGATTTGTGTCACCCTGACCGACGGGCGGCCCTGCGAGGCGGGTCGCCGCCTCGCGCTCGAGGGGGATTGAGAATCATTGTGGTCGGTGGAATAAGTGATGTGCTCGTGGCATTCGCGGGCTGACGTCCCTCGCTACTGGCCACCTGCGACCAAAGAGCAGAATAGGTGCCATCCATGACAGGGAGTCCGCGGCTCTGAGACGCCAGCCACGGAGCTAGTCGCGCGTTCTCGGCACCTGGGTGTGTGATGAGCATCTTGGGAACAGTTTATTGTTGCACTTTCGAACTGCAAGTTCAATTCAGGCCAGTAAACCCATCAGGTCTGGGAGAAAATGCTGATTGGCCACCGCCCAGCAAGTGTAATGCAAACGTTTCTTCAGCGTGCGGACAAGAGGTTACTCAACGGCGGGCCCCAGCGCGGACCCTTAATTCTTGGGGGCCCCCCGGCCCCCGGCCCTCGGTCTTACATTATGTAGGTAGACTCGAGGAGGAAGGATGACACCGCACTTGCATTGGTGCCAGCGCCGGCGCGCCCTGCGCGTGCTAGCGAGGGAAGGGAACCCTACAGTGGCAGAGTGGCAGAGTGGGATGTGGGTGGCCAACCTTTTAGAGCCCGTCCCACACGTTCACCAACAACAACCAAGTCTTTGGTTGCCATCGGGGCGCAAATCAGCACCGTTTCTAGAAGGCTTGGTTTGGTTATGATATCAACAACATTGGCCTTGTGCGATTTTACCCGACGGCTCAGGCTGCGACCGGCGGTTTCTGTTCGTCTTCTTGTTGCCTCCGGTCTCAGCGTTACACAAGTGTTATTTTTGTTCGGCCCTGTCAACGACGCTCGAGCCTCCGGAACCGGCTTGTCGGGGCGGCGACGTCGATCGGCGGCTGAGCGGATGGACAATGGTATTCATCGGAGGAAATAGGAGCTTGGACGTGGGCAGGCGAATAATATCGCGAGGGACGGACGGGTGTACACAAGGGCAGCTGGCAGAACCCTTTCCCATGAGCCAGCCAAGAACGATACCTTTCTCTTTGTACTGGTTGGCGCGCCACCAACGCTGCCGCTGCCGCTGCCACGACGGGCGGGATGACGGCACTTTCGTAGCTGGGAGCACGAGATGATCAACGGCTGGGCGATTAGGAAGGAGGACAGATTGACGCCTTGTGCATTTCGAATCGCTCGCATGGCACATCGCATCGTGGCTGCGTGCGTGCGTGCGTGCTTGCGTGGCTGGGCTCTTGCTGGGGGGAAGGAAGGGCGGAAGGAAGGGCGGGCAACAAAACTTTTCTAGTGCTTCTGTGATGGCTTCCAAGATCGCCGCCATGCAGAGGAACCGAGCCTATCTGGCCACTATGCAGTCATGGTGGTGCCCAGGTGGTGGTGGTGGGTGGGCAGGTGGGTTGGGTGACGATTGATGCTTGCGCCGCCGACTCCACGGCGGCAGCTTGAGCGGGCTGGGAGAGACAGGCAGGCAGACACCACACCACGGAATAGCACTGAGACATCGGTTGGGGACCTCGGGACGCAGGAGACCTACAGCAGCTGGCTGGCTAGCTGCTCGGGTTTTGTCTTGCATCGGGGCCCTGAAGGAACGGATGGGCGGCGGACCCAGAGCAGCTACGGTGACGCCACGACAGCTCAGTGTGCATATGTCCATCCTGGGCAGCCTGCCTTGCCTGCGTCCTACTCCGTACATACACACGTCTCGCCTGTGTGGTGTAGGTGCACAGTATACAACAGGCCCCTTGCCGGCACGGGAGGGCTTCTCCATCCCATGCTGCCCGTCCATCCAGCCACCCACCACGGCCACCACCCACCCGATTTGATATCTAGCAGACTGCAGTCAGGATGTGTGTGCATTGCATATACATACCATACCTGCTGCTAGAGCTTTCCCCACACTCCCTTGGCGCCCTTTTCCTCTCGCAGGGGTCCTGGGGCTCAGGGCTCTCTTGAAGAAACGAACCTCCCGAGTGCCCCCAGGGCCCAGGGCGGGCTAGCTGCTAGTCCTGCAGGCAGTCCTGCAGCCGCCGTGGTCCGCAACGGCTGAACAGGTCGGGGGCAACTCTCGACTCTCGAACCAACAGACTCGAGGGAGGCTGCCCCTACGTCATGGGCGGCACCGGGGGCAGCTGGCGACTGGCCCGCCTCAAGCAACCTGGGACCTCCAGGCCACACCAGACAGTAGCGCTGGTGTTGAATGCCACTACCGGAACGGCCGGCCAGCCTGCCAGTTCAATTCAATGTTGCTTGCCTCACCAGCGAGTAGACGAGACGACAGCTGGGCTGGGGGGGTGTGTGGTTGTACGCATTGGATTGATCTTCACTGCTTGACGATTGAGTCTATTGCCTCCCAGGGCTGGCTCGCGTTCGTTGTTCAGCATAGATCGGACCCTCGGTTTGTATCGGGCGCGCGGGGGCGCATGCACGCCCGGCTATCGTAGGTATCCCGGGTCCCTGTTCCCATCTCGGTGTTCCGCCGACGAGCCTCACCAATGGTTTAGTTCCCAGCATCTACACTACGTGTCAGCGTGTGTGAGTGCACTGACTGACTGACGCCACCGGGTACGGTAACATTGCCCCGGCTTCATTACTGGCTGGCTGCCTCGTCGCCTACGGATCTCTGCGGTTATTATGGCTTGCTTACTACCATGCGCTCGAGGATGCGAGCAAAGCACTCACTGGCGCAAGCATCAGCCACATCACCAACGGGACAGTAGCCCCGGTCTCACTCGGCACTGGCCCAGGCTGGCAATGGGTGATCAACGGCGCAAAGAGCCACTGGGGAGACGCCAGCAACTCACTCACCCTGCAAGACGCACATCGCACGCACGCGCGTACGCAATTGCGTGCATACATACATACATACATACATACATATAGAGCTGCCAGCTAGCACAAGTGTCGTTCAGGCTAGTGAGCACTGTGCCCCAAGCTCTCTCTTTTTTAATAACGCCTGCACACCACGCCACCGGTGCGACTGCGCACACATCAAATCTGTCTCCGGGGCCCGGGTCTGCCATATTGCTCGAGTGCTGCCCCACTGCACGCACGCGGGCCAACCGGTCAGCGAGCGACACAATGCTGTGCGACGACGCAAGCCGTGCAGCGGGCCTGGTTTCACAGGTAGGTTGGTTTCTTTTGTCTTCTTACGACCCCTTTTTTCCCCCTCGGATTGGGGGCTGGCTGGCTGGCTGGACCAGCCTTTTTTGCCCGTTTCCTCTTGCATTTTCTTTGTGACTATATACCACACCCGTGGACACACCGCGCGCACATCACAGCCTATTTCGTTTTTTTTTTCTTTCCTCGGGGAAATGTATGTATGTATGCACAGGGATAATCGATTCGAGCCCGACCGATCTGCTGCGCAGCATTGGTAGGGTTGTTGGAAAAGACCCGGCACTGCTGTTGTCCCCTTGCGTCCCTTTCCCAACCACGGCTCCTGGAGTTTCCCCCCGTGCAGGCCTGAGTTAAGTCATCTGCTTATATAAGGGTGCGTCGTGTCGTGCTACCCATACACGCACACACACACACACGCACGCATGTTGATGAGAGATGGGTTGCGTGCGTTGATCGGCGGCGGCGTAGGGCGGGAACTCGGGACGAAGGCGGCCGAGAGAGATGTCGTTGATAATTCTCGGTCGCCACCTATGCGATGACCTTTTTTTTTTTTTTCACACTGGCTTGTAATACTATTATCTTTGCCACATCCGTGATATTCCCGAGTTGGGTAGGGTCTCCTGATCTCTGTGTAATAGACACGGATCGGGCGAGAGTGGTCTGTCTGTCTGGGTCGGCTATAGCTGCACCAAGCAGCAAGTAAGTGAGGTTCAGACGACTGGGCGGGTGGCCACCTCCCAACCGGCCAGCCACACACACACACACACACCCACACACACCTCTACTTGGAATCTCATCTCTCCTTCCTTTCCCTCCCACCCCCGGCGGCCCGTATATATGTATGTAACCTCAGCCCAAGGTGATCTAGGGGTAAATGCGGTGCATATGTGCATGCCCGCCGCCGCGACCGCCGCCACATGTAGATAGATAGATGCGTCCCAGGTTTTTGTGTGTGTGTGTGTGTGTGTTTTTGGCTGGTGTAGGACCGCAGGGACAAAAGGACTAGGCAGGCTGGCTGGCTGGCAGGCGGCCGGGTAGTGTGTGTTGTGCGACTTGAATGAAGAACGGGGGCGACGGCGTGCCGGGCATGTGATTTTTTTTTTTTGTTTCTCGCTCGGCCGGGGGTACTTGTGGGCCCTGCCTCGTTGCAAGTCGCTGGATGAATGGGATTTGAAACTGCTGTACATATGCATGTGGAATCAATTGGGGATGTGCTTGGGAGGATAATAGCTGGCTTGTGATGCTGACATATATGCGCGGGTGTGTTGCGGGAGACTTAACTGGTTTTTCATTGCGGTGTTGTTGTCCACGTGCTAGCCTCGCAGGTTTCTTGGGGGGTGATACCAAGCTTCTGGAAGTCATGTCATGGCTATTTTTGTTTGGAACCGCGGAGAGGGCATCTTGATCGCAAGCTTGAATGTTGCTTGTGTAATTGTATGTTTTCAGGAGACAAGACAATGTCGACTCGCGACCCGTTGACGGACTTTGCTGCTAGACAGGGTTAATTATGGATTCAAATATTAAAAATAGGGGGGAAGGCAAGATATGTTGAATTATATGGAACTTGAGAACTAGTTAGAATATGGAGATGGTAGACAAAGGAGATCGGCCACTTCTGTGAGTAGGCAGGAGCTACGGCTCAATAAGATTCTCTTCATCATCCGTATAAGCTTGGAACGCATGAGGCACATTAGTGGGACGTGAACGACTCCCCTCTTGGCTTATAAGCCGCCCTTCGGAGTTATAGTGGCAGACGGTGTTGGCATATTGGCAGCGCCGCTGCCAGCCACGAGGTAAGGGCCCAGGGACTGCCTGTGTCTCATCAACATTGACCTCGCCGCGAGAGTAAGGGTAGTCCCACATAGACCCGGCGTTGCGGGTGCCACTGGACCGATCCGGAAAGTAGGCCAGGAACCTGGCTTTGTTGCGCCATATTTCCTCCGGGGGCATCGGGATGATGTTCCATATCTCAGGATGAACGCGCTCGAGGACCCTCTCCATGAGCACGGTCTCGAAACTTACCCCGGCTCTTAACCGCACTATTTCGCGACACTGGCAATTATCGTGACTGAAGTTCAGATACTTCTCCTGCCACTCGATGAGCCTCGCCATATGCTTTCTGAGGTCCATGTTCCGCCGCGGGAGCAGGTGGAACAGGCCGATGAACCTGGTCTCCCAGGGCGTCGCCTCCTCGCTCTGCCCGCCGTAGAGACTGCGGCTGAGGCGCCCCATCCACGAGGCACCACCTTGTGACTCGGCGGCCTCGGCGCGGTCCATCGCCGCGAGCTCGCCCTGGAAACCAGAACAGCGCTCGTGCCGCCAAGCCGGCGGCATCCCGCCGGCGAGCTCCGTGGCGTGGTCGGCCACCGACATCTTGTGGGTCTTCCTGGCGCGGAAGACGACGGGCTCGCCGTCCACCCGCAGCCTGAGGCTGTGCCTGGCGCGGACGAAGATGGTCTCGCCGGCCACGAGGGGGCCGTCCACGCCGCCGCCGCTCGTGTCCTGCCAGAAGAGGTCCATGTGTGCCTCGTCGTCGTGGAAGAGCCCCTGTGCCTTGAGGCGCCTCGCCGCCTCGGACACGCGGCAGGTCAGCTCGTCCGTGCAGAACGTGCACATCCCCGCGTTGGCGATGTGCTCCTGGTAGGAGTGGTGGGCTAGGGAGTACGTGATTGCGTTGCCGCCTACTGTCGTGGCTGGCTCCCAGAGCGGCTTGAAGTGCGGGTTGTGGAGGGCTTGGACGTGTTCGGCGCGGCGCTTCACTGGTGTTGTCGGGTCCATGAGTGAGTTGTTATCTACTTCTCGCACTTTTCTATGGAAATTGTGTCAGTATTGATGGGAGCAGGGATAGTCGTAGCGGAGAGGAGGATGTGCTCAGGTGGGTGAGTGGATTTGCCTGTGTGCTATGAAGCTGAGACAGATATACTCTCAGTGTCCCGCTGTTATCACAACGAGGCTTGCAAGTGTTGTTCACCGTGATCCGATACCTATTGTCCCCACAGGAGAGAACAAAGCCGGAAGTCTACAGGTACAATGAAGATCTTGAATGCACAAAAACAATGGGATTGTGTTCTTTGTCCCATGATGTTACCCGGATTTATAACGCACATGAGCATAGGGTAGTTGTGTTGAGATCAAAAGAACAATCCATCAAGTTCCCTAATGATGATAGCCTTTTATAGGCAAAATTGACACGATCTGCAAGCCAGACAAAGGTCCATGGATGAGAGGCTTGTGCATGCCCACGGCCTCACATTCCAACCTTGCAAGTAAACGACAGCTCGACAAGAGTTCCCACCGTGTACTCTGCTTTGTTGGGAAGGGACAGGTCTTAGGTACCTAAATAGCCCTCCAACCCTTGTACTCGGGAGGGGAAAGGACTTCAGGAGTGCTTGAAAGAGTAACTTTTGCCGATGGGCTGGGTTGTGGATGTCTCCGCACACATGTCACCCGAATGCTACCACAAAAAGCAAGCCTTCTGGTCCGCTGCATTCATATTTCTAAGCTGTACCTCCCTAGATAGCGCTGATGTCAGCTTATTAGTGTTTCAAGTGCCGTTCTGAGCTTGCCATTATGAGTTCGTATACAATAAGGACTCTTGGCTATCGGTCTAGATGCTGGCTCTATCTCTCACTACCTATACGCAGTCAACACATTGTATAGGATGAATCCTGCAACAGAGACCGACTTTCTCGTGATAGGATGTGGGCCGGCGGGCGCTGCCCTCGGGGCCTTTCTCGGACAGAATGGTACGATAGCGCATTTCAAGGCGTATCGAAGACTGTCCATTGAGCTAATTTGAACTGGAGGCTTACGAGGGCTGATAATATCGAGTGCCTCCTGCACGGCAGATACGCCTAGAGCACATATATTGAATCCATTTGGAATGGGTAAGTATTCTTTCTACCCGTCCAGATAAGCCGTTGTAAAACTTGAACTGAATTTTTCTTTTAGAATGCTTGAGGGACCTTGGATTGCAAGATGATGCTTTGAGTCAAGCCACGAGGGGCCCCGCCATACAGGCTATGCGATGGTGTCGCAGTATGGTCGGCGAGGAGTATGGAAGACTTCATTACTGGGCTCTCACCCTGACACAATGGCATGCACACCCATCCCACAGCACGTTCAGCAGCTATGTGCTCATCTGTTATACCTAGGGAGACCAGAATATAGCCTCACCCTGCGAGTGGACCGACCTCCCCCAAAGCTATCTGGACCCCATCCTGGCCAAATTTGCTTCTCAACATGGCTTCGACGTGCGCTTTTCGACCAAGCTCATCCACGTCAAACGTGCATCTGGCATCTGGATTTGTGATATCCAGGACTTGATCACCAATAATACTTTCGAGATCCACGCCAAGTATATCTTTGGCGCCGACGGGGCGCGTAGCAGCGTGGCTCGTTTGCTCAACTTCGAATTCACCCAGAACGCAAGTGGGGGCGTTGCTTGTAATGTTCTACTGAAAGCTGATCTTGACCACGTCATGCACCCGGCACGACAGGCAGGCCTGCATTGGCTAATGAAGCCGGATCGCAAGACAAGATTCGGAATCAGCCCGACACTCAGAATGATCAGGCCGTGGAAGCAATGGATGTTGGTCGCCTTCACCCCAGGAGCGACAGAAGATCCTTTCAAGGACTTGACACCAAAGAGTACTGAGCTGATAGACTATATCAAAGAGCTTATTGGGGATGATTCCGTGAATATCGAAGTTCAGAGGCTTGACCCGTGGGTACTGCGCGACACCGTTGCGGTCGACTTCTCCCGGGAGCAAAGTGTATTCCTCCTAGGTGACGCGGCTCATCGCCACCCCCCAACATTCGGGCTTGGGAGCAACACGTGCATTCAGGATGCGTACAATCTGGGTTGGAAGATTGCCTATGTTGAAAAGGGTCTGGCGGGCCCAGGGCTCCTAGATTCCTACGATGCTGAGAGGCAGCCTGTTGGAGCGGATGTCGTCAAGGATGCCAACTATGGCATTCAGCTGCACTCTAAGATCTGGGAAGCACTCGGCATGTTTGCAGCGACCCAAGAAGAAGGGATGCAGCACATAAATGATCTGTCCAGTGGCACGCCAGAAGGTGCAGCTTGTCGTGCCAGGTTGCACGCCGCCTTCGAAGGCATGAGGCAGGAGGCGGAGAGTCTGGGCGCTACCATGAATCAATGGTATACGTCCAATGCGGTCTATCTGGACGACGAGAGCCATCCGAGATTGCCGCTTGAAGGAAACCGCCTGGTCAACATTCAAGTCAGCACATACCCGGGCAGTCGTCTCCCGCATGCGTGGCTGGACCAATGGTCAACGCGCAGGAAGGAGATCTCGACCCAGGATGTAGCTGGGAAGGGTTCCTTTTGCCTCCTGACTGGACACGGGGGCGACCCCTGGAAACAGGCCGCGGACAGGATTTCTCAAAAGACGGGGATACCGATCAATAGCTACGGAATAGGCTACGGCCTTGACTACCATGATGTCTACCGAGAGTGGTACACCAGACGTGAGGTCGCGGACGCTGGGTGCGTGCTTGTTCGCCCGGACAGGTTTGTGGCATGGAGGTCGGTGGAGATGGTCCCCGACTGCGAAGGTAAGCTTTTGACGGTTCTGGACCGCATCCTGTCAAGAAAGGAGTTGTTGTAGTGTGGCGGCATGACATGGGAGAATGTGTGGACTATTGCTTGGAAGAGTTCTTGGTACCTGACTTTAACGATATGGCATTTGGAAACCCCATGAATTAGTTCAAAAGCACACTTTGATCCTTCAGAAATACAAGGATACTTTTGCCTGCCCCTTATGGCGTCATCACTGGATATCCGTTGTTTCTACAGCCTTGCTGAGGAAGGGTTTTACTGCAAGGCTTTTGTCCAAGATATTTTACGCCACATGCGCAGTGATTTCGGATCTTTCCGAACTTACGGGCTGAGTAATCTGCCGGTTGCTGTTGCATCGTTCATCGACTCTGTGGTACGATTAAAATGAGCGAGGTGTGTTGCAAACTACTTCATGTGCTACTCGGAGAAGCAAACACGGCTGTTAGGATAGCCCGAGGTGACGAGTGGTAGAGTTACTAACTTCTTAGATCACATTCGTCCATTTGAGAGCGTCAATCCTTGGAAAACAATTTTGAAATTTGAGCCAGCACAGGGCAGGCTGACGGAATCGAAAACTTGTGCTTTTGCAGGTCCAGGTTGCCTTCATGTCTATATCAACTTATGCGGCCAGGTGTGAACCAGCCTGTACCTTTCAATGCTCGGTGATTGTTTAAGTGCAGTCTGTAGTCGTATTTTATACCCTGTAGGTCGTAGAGTGGTGTGGTATTTCACACTAACATAATAAGCCGTTCAGTAGTTCAGTTCTAGTACTACTAACTTTAAGATTAATGTGTAGGTTCGTCCTTTTTCGCTCCCATTCCGTATATGCATACATGTCGCCTTCACACAATAATAAATAAGTACTTGAGACCCAAAACATATAGTGTCGACATCAATAGTAAAAGTACGACGGTGCTCTGAGTTTAGATAATTGTATACCTAGGTAGCAAAGTATGGTTATATGCCTGCATATTTCTAAAAAATATTGTATCTTATACCCCCTGCATCACTCCGTGGTGCTCTAAAGGTTCCTACAGCACACCATCCCTCTTTCCGGTGCTCTTCTGATCAGCCTTGGTTTGCTGGTAAGTAACCTGCCCATCTTGCTTAAGATGGACTTCATTACAAGGGTTAGCCTCAAATTCGCAGTACAAATCTGTTTCAAAGTGCATCTTACCGGTATCTAGGTACTCGCCGCTCTGGTCTTGCATCCTGACTGAGATAACCATGCCGTCGGCGGTCGACGAGGACGGATGCGCCTTGCCCTTGATGAGACCGCCCTTGACCTTGACAGGCTTACCAGTCTTGTTTGCAAGTTTCTTGGCCTTCTCTCCCAAGCCTCCGGCGGTCTTGAGCTTCCGCAAGGTGGTCTTGGACTTCATCATGGTGCCGAAGTGCGGGTCAAGCTTGTCCACCGTGGTGGAGCCCGAGAACTCGAAGCTCTCGACGCTGGATGCGGGTGAGGCGGCTTGTTTGCCCTTGTTTCCACTGCTGGAGGAAGGACGGGAGTTGGAAGGTGTAGAAGGCATGGTGATGGTGTAGTAAATGTATGAATAGGGATGTACTAGTATGATATTGGAGATGTGTAAATAACTGCCTGCAGTGAAGAACTATATTGAAGATGTTGATGCTGTTGATGATGATAAAGTGAGATGCCCCTTCTTGCGAGGAACTGGTCCTTATATCCTTTTCTTTCCCCCTTGTGGAACCCACTTACCACCTCGCTGGAGCAGGCCGTTACGAATGAACCTTGGAAATGGTTGTGATGCTATTTCGAGACATGTTGCTACATGTTGGCCCTCGTTGCTTCACAGCCACCAGCTGCCCACCTGCGGCAGAGACCCGCCCCGGGCGGACGGCCGACACAGATATCATGTTCCACTGTCAGCAGAAGTGGTAGATCCTGGTGGATGTCTTCCAATTGCTAAACGAGGCATTTGGCCATTTCCGCCCCATTCGCGTGTCAATTGTTGGAAGTTGGAATAGCAGCCGTCCACGGGTGGTAAGCTGAGGTGATGCGATACCATGCTGTGGGCGTCGCCTCATGCAATCGTTGTCCTCTTTTAGGATAATCCCTATTATCGGCCGAGGCCAGAAACCGGCCTCGGCCTCACACGGCCTTGACCGTTGAGCTCCTGTAAGCATTTGGCCTTGCGGTCGCTCCTCAAAGTGTTGGAAATGGATCACGTGGTACAAATCTCGAGGAGCAATGCTCATCAATGTCCCTGAAATAGCCGATTGGATTGCAAGGTCGGTGGGGGTTTGATCCTTTACAATATGGCTGCTTGGTGGCTGCTCACCGTGGCCCGAACCGTCGTGTCGTTGCTGTGATATGGACATTCTCAGGGTTAGGAGTCTGGGGTCCACATGCCCGGCCCATCGATTGACCGATGCGCGCCAATAATAGAATGGGATGAGTCTGAGTGAGACAGCCTCCGAGGAGGATGCGGGAGGCGTTGGTTAACCCACCCTTAAAGTCCTCGATGCAAACACAAACATAAGATATGGCCAACAACCATAAAAACCCGCCGGCACCATCGTTGAACTTCAAAAGTCGGCCCCCTACCTCACGACGACCCGCTCACCTGATACGGAGTCGAAAGGATCGCGTTCTCAAGCCAAGGCGATGATGGATTTACACTCTGACAATTGCCCGCCCTCACCGGCGAGGGAGTTCCCGACCTCAGGATTCGAGGTCATTGACGAGTCCGACATATTAGACGAAGAGAGGTTCGCTTGGTTCTCAACCAAAACGTGGTATCCGGTGCAGATTGGAGAGGTCTTCCAAGACCAATACCAAGTCCTAACCAAGATCGGTTATGGGACAGCATCAACCAGCTGGCTCTGTCGCGATCTCAGGTAGGTCTAAAAAGTCCCCAAGTCGAATGCTCCAAGTCCATTAGGGGTTTTATACTGACTGCTGGGACAGGAGTCATCGATACGTAGTGCTTAAGGTCTACTGCACTGATACCGACCAAGCCAGCCGGGAGACCGCGGCACTTGAGCATATCGAATCAATCCTAGCCACTCCTGCGGCAGCATCGCATGAGGGTCAAAACTTCATCCGCCGGTTGCTTGATAGGTTTACGATATCGAATCCCAAGGCTGTCCAGCCTGAGAACCCTAACATCTGTCTCGTTTTCAAACCAATGGGCATGTCACTGTCTGATATGGAAGCCCATTCCTATAGTGGTGATGGAATGCCCATAGACCTAGTCAAGGGTCTTACTATGTACCTCCTCGCAGGCCTAGATTTCCTTCACTCTCAGGCTAAACTTATCCATACTGGTGAGTCCACCACGAAATTGCCTGAGAAGCCTTGACCCATTATCTAACCTTTCTGGACAGATATTCAGCATGGAAATATCATGTTCTCAATTGAGGACGAATCAACCCTTGATTCCGTCTTAGAAGAGGAGCTCAAGGATCCGTCTCCCCGCAAGGTTCATAAGGACGGCCACACTATCTACAAGTGTCGCGAGATCATTACCGGCGATATCCTGTTCCCAATGATCTGCGACTTCGGCGAGGCGAGATTTGGGAAGGATAAGTATGAAGAGCATGCAATGCCAGATTTATACCGTGCGCCTGAGATTCTCCTCCATACAGCCTGGAATAGGAAAATCGACATCTGGGCGTTAGGCCTGATGGCAAGTTTCCCCCCATGCTGTCACTTTGTTTCTACAACTCCGCATCCTAGAAGCCTGCACATCTCAAACTAACCAGTATATGTTCGAATTAGATCTGGAATATGGTAGAGGGGAGAAATCTGTTTAGGGACTCCAGCGGTGGTAGATGGCAGTCAGCACTCCCACACATGGCGCGAATGGTTAGCTTACTTGGTCCACCGCCGAAGCACATGCTGGATGAAAGCGCTGCGACTGACAAGTTCTTCGACGAGGATGGTCAGTAATACCTCACTTGGATAAAAGACACGCCTTTGTGGAGATCCCCCTTACTGATTTCAAAACTCTACATCAGGAAATCTCAAAGGTGGACAACAGCTCTGCCCGACTTCCTTGGAGGAAGAGGAGACCAAGCTCGAGGGAGAGGAAAAGCAGGAATTCTTGCGCTTTATCCGGCGCATGCTACAATGGGACCCCAGCCAGAGGCCATCTGCGAGGGAACTGGCCGCGGATGCGTGGCCACAAGTTGAGGAAGGCGACGATACAGATGTGGAAGACGGCGATACAGATGCGGAAGAAGAGGACGACGGTGCAAACACAGAAGAGGAACAAGACTCATGACAGGCAACTGGGACTTGAGCCCTCAGGAACTGCAAGCTCGGTATTCGATAGCTCACAGCTCACTGCAATATACACTGCGCCCACAGCCACGCGGACGCGGTGCTGCCACGCAGAAAAGACGAATCTCTTTTTTCATTATTTGCCGTGCCGACCGTTTGCAGTGGCGACCTCGGGGAAGGTTGACTTCCACAAGGAGCTCTACTGGTCTGCACACTGATCGAGGACAAGGGTACGTAGGTATAGTATGATCAGGAGTAAGTTCTTCTGTGTTGTAAACTGGCCGGAGGCAGCTTAGAGCTGGGGACCGTCAGCAAATGCACTCCGATAATTACACCGGTTGCTTTGATGACCCGCAGGTTCTGAGCCTTCCCTCCCATATGACACGCGCGATGATTGGTGACATTCCTTCTAATTCATCCGATCTATCATTGTCCGTTACAGCTATTGGCAGCGGGGATGTCGAGTCCGGCAGCTCAGAATCTGGGAGCGCCAGCACTTTCGCCCCCAAGGCGGCAGGTCAACTGGTTCATCCTGAACATGAAGGCCGAAACACAAGATGAGATTGCGAAATACTCGGCCAATATTTTGGTAACCTATTTGTCGGTGACCATTTTTGTCACCTACTCTACTGAACGGTACCCATGCCACAGTGATCTTGAAGAGGTTACATCCTGGCCCCATCTGCTACGACGCCTCCCAGTGCTACTTTGTTGGACCGATACAATTGGACAGTAAGTGACACTACTGCTCGCGACTTACCATGGGCATAAGCGTTGGACGATTCGGTGGCTATCCCTCGGATTGGGTGCACTTACCGATGGGTGGCGCAAATTGGGATGTCCACGACGGACACCACTTCTATTGTCGTCCACGCCCAAGGAACTTAGCCCTCGCGCCTTGCCCTAAGGATCGCGAGTCGTCCGGACCCGACATATTTTGTGCTTAAGACTGCAACCAAGCGGGTTATGGAAAGGGCTGGAGTGGCGATCAGTGGACAGTAACGAAATCATTGGGCCTCTCTTGCTAGTAGCCAGCCTCCCAGGGAACACGATAGCATCAATTCTCCCTCCAATGAGAACACATTGCTGAACCCCAGTCACATGTTCGCTTCTGCTGTCTCTCCACTGAACCCACAGCCCTCAACGCAGAGATGTTCATGTATGGATCGTGTCTGCTTTAATTACCCAAACTCCAGGACAAGTAGGAATAGCACTTATCGGCTAAAGAAGTTGTTGTAACGAGACATATGCATATCAATCCATACCATCAGGAACAAACGTGCCTGAATGTCCATTTGCTTTTTCTAGATGACCACTTGAGCCCAGGATTCGTGTGAAGCACTAACGTTAGGCGATGTGTCGCGCATAGCCACATGCAGATTTTACTACATCCGAGTCTTCCCCAAGCTCTAACACACGTGGCCCCCCGGGCAATAATGGAGACTTGACACGGTGGATAAGGTAAGTTTGACCTTCCACTTGCAACTGCCATTTGCCCAACTTGTCTCAATTGGGACAATTTCAAGGTTCGTGCGATAATTTGACACTCCACAGAATCGAAGCTACAGCCCACAATCATGCCGAAGTTTTCCCTGTCCTTGAGAACTTCATTGGCTAGGTCAGCTGTGAGGTAGTTGCCACCCAGCCTCTCTACCAAGAGTGCTTTTGAGGAAACAATAGATTTTCTCCAGAATTCTTGTAGATCTGTAGACGACAGGCAAATTAGGAGGAAAGGTACTGCACTGCTGACTAAATTTATGTACTTGGAAACTTCGGGATGCTTGTGAAATGTAGAAGTCCAGCACTCGGCTTTGAGATCACCACGGGTTACCTAGATACACGATGGGAATTGGCTTCGCTCCTATTCCGTACCTGGGTATTACTTATCCGAAGCCATGCACGGCGCCTTCACAGTGGCAAGAAAAGGCCACTCTTGGGTTAGCCGGAGAAATTCACTGTGCTGTGTGAGTCTTCTGCTTCGATAATCTGAGTCTCATCACGTCAACCTTGCAACCTAAAAACGCGGTCAGAGGCACCGCCACCCGCCTGATGATAGACGTTTCGGCAGGCCTAGAATAACACGCTATCGGATTATATATTTTGGGCCCGTGGAGATCAAATGCACACTTGCTCCTCTATCCCACGCGCCTTAAAAGTTCGTATCAGGGAAAATAGGGGGACAACCCAACGGCGTTTGTGGCGATGATCAAGTGCTTGGGCGGCAAAGATTTTCTCATCCAGAGAGTCTACCACCAATCGCCACCATCAACCCCAACCAGTCGGGATACTATGAGTAATCTCTGCTAGACGCCTGGTCAAACCGTTTTGCAGGCCGATTGATTAACTTTTGGCGAGGCATTGCCGAACTCTCAGGCTCCCTGTGGAGCTTCACTCCCGGATGTAACCCCGCAGATGTGGGCCTGAACGCTTTGCCGCTGAAGCTTATTGCTACGCTCCGTGGCTGTTGAGTGGCCGGGAGGACGTGCTCCAGGCGTTTTAAGTTCATCAGCATGCACGGCAAGACCAGCCCAGATTTCGCCTCGCCAATGGCGGCGACTCTCTCTCCGATGCCCAGTGGAGGTGACCGGGTGCGCGGATCGGGCACCAAGAATGGCTGTATGAGGCAAAGAGATGGTTAAAACCAGTATGTTGGTACTCCGCATATCAACATGGGCTGCCGGTGGCTTCATCGGTTCACTGCATCCGCCTGAAGCCTCCCGAATCGCTCTTGTCTACCCAATTGCAATTCCAAGATCCTGGAGAAATCCGGCGAAAAAGTCGATCGACCTGGGTTTGTGTGCCCTGTGCCGTGAATAGAATGGTGTAGGGTGAGAGAGATCGGTGGTGAACATGGGTGAATCAGCAGCTGCAGCAAAACGTCGTACGAGACGCATACCGGATGAGCTTCGGAAGAGGTACGTTAGTGTGCCCCGTAGTGCCACTCTCCCGGGCCCAGAAAATCTGCTGATTCTAGGTCCCAGGTCCGCCCAGAGTTGCGATCTATGCAGGAAGGTAAGAAAAAGTCAGGCCACCTCTGAGCCTTGTACTGCTAGGGGATGAATCATGATGATGGACTGTCGACCCATTCTTGCACCCTGCTAAGTATCATCTCGCTCCAAGCGGCGTTGCAAGTGCGTTACCGAACCCAATGGCGTCGACTGTGTCGCTTGCAAGGGGCAGGGCCTCTCGTGCACGTTCACCCTCCCGAGGAAGACGCGCTTCTATGGGTCCCTTGAGGATCTGAGTGATCGGTAAGTCCCGTCTTACTGATTCAACTGGACCCTGAGCTTCAATTCCTAATAATGAAACCCCCGTGTTTACCAGATATAAATGCCTCGACGCCATTGTTCGCGCAGCTTTCCCCAATCACGCTGTGGCCACGGCCTCTGACCTCATCAAGCTTGGTCAGCACCTCAACATTGAAATACCAGACCTGTCGGCGGAGGAACCTGATAGTTTCGACACACTTTTAAAGGATCGGCTCAAGAGTACAGATGAGTCGTCAGTAATCGGGACGCAGCCAGGTCGTCGCAAGAGTGTGGACTCGGGATTCGACACAGGGAGAGAGACGGATGGCCACCATGATGACTCCCTTGGCAAGAAAGAGGATCCTGCTTTCCAAGACCAGAAGGTAGCACTTCTCCGGGACACCTCTGGCCATGAACATTACATCGGACCTTCGGGTAGCCTGCAGTTCCTGGACCAACTGCGCCGTTTACTCATCTCCCGAGACTCCGAGATATCGACGACCGGCAATGGTCACACTACGTCTGACGGACGGGGGCCCACGGTGTCCCAGGTAATTGACGACGGAGCTCGCTTCAATGGAGTATCCCAGACAACCAATGGCGGAATAACAGAACGCCAGGAAGTCGCACAGGTGGAGGACTCATTATCGCCGCAGGCTCCCAGCGCTTCAACTTCTGGACTGGCACGAACTGATGAGATACACGATCTTCTAGACCAGGTCCCCAAAAGGGAGATCGTCGAGAGCCTGCTCCCTCTATATTGGGCCAATGTACATGATGACTTCCCTCTTTTCCACCGAGAGACTTTCGAGAAGGAGTACCAGTCTTTTCTTGGGAATCTTGGCCAGCCTGTGAGCTACCCCTTGGCCTCAGGCGTTGCCAGGCCAGACCATGGCTGGATCGGATGTCTACATATGATGGTTGTTTTCGGATCACTCTCAAGCGCAGGCCACCGCGATGACGTTGGGTCAAAAGCATTGCAAAAGTACTGCGTCGATGCCACGCGGAATCTGCTCCCACGCATCGTCACCAACTGCTCGCTGTCAGGAGTCCAGGCACTCTTACTTCTCAGCCTATTCCTCCATAACGACAACGAACGCAACACTGCCTGGAACCTGGTCGGGACGGCAACCCGGATCTGCTTCGCGCTTGGCCTTCACAGGACTGACACAGCAGAAATCTTCTCCCCGGTTGAGAGAGAAATCAGGAAGCGAGTATTTTGCACCCTCTATGGCTTCGAACAGTTTCTTGCCTCCAGTCTTGGAAGACCAAGTGGTGTCAACGATATTGATGTGCAGGTAGTCCATCCTCGAGGCGGGATCCTCAGTGGTCGCCAACACAGCGATGACGCCCTTGCTATAATGACTCTGAAGCTTAACCAAATCCTGTCAACGTCCCGGAACCCCAGATACGCGTCTGCATCCACCGCACAGGCTCCACACGAAGCGCACCAGCTCTCAGTTGAAGAAGTCCTCGCGTCCTTGAAGGCATGGAAACTTGAGTTGTCCTCTTTACAATCACTGGACGTGCCCGTACTCGCGGAGAAGGACGACAAACTTCCTGTTCCCACTGGGTCACGGATGGAAGCCGGCGAGCTCAAGACCCTCCTAGGGTGGCGCGACCTTCCTACTGTCCGGGAAATACTTCTTCTCTACCTTCAGTACCACTACATATACATTCTTGTCACAAGACCCTTCCTCCTGAGAAGCATTACGGCGAGCGTCAAGACGGCCCGGACGCCCGAGTACGGACCAAGCCCTGCTAAGACGACCACGAACAAGATCGGCCAGTTCTCGGATTTATGTTTCCGCCACGCTTGCCAGATGGCCCGCCTTCTTCTGCTCCTTGACTCGTTCGGCCTCATCCACGGGGCATCAGGACTCGACGTGTTCTTTGCATACTCGGCGGCCATGGTATTGATCCTCCGGTCCCTCAGACTGGACGCACAAGAAGAAGGGTTGGGTACGAAGACAGAACACATGTCAAACGGTGGAGGGATGGGTGTAAATCATAACCTGAAAACCGCAAAACAGGTTGATGAAAAGTCTCTTCTTGGGGCTTTGCGTGATTTGATAGTACGACTGAGGGAGCTGGTTTTGAAAGTACCGAAGTCGAGTACGATGGAGCGATTCGCACGAGCCATGGTCACTTTCGAAGAGAGTGCATACCATGTCAAGGTCAAGGCCGAGCCGGACGACAGTGAACGCGACCCGGGATCTTCCATGGGTCAGCATCATTATGGCTCTCACTTTTCAGGTCCCAACCTGCTGTTCCGAGGCCTCATGGACGCAAGCTATGGCCCGACACCTGCCAGTGATGTGCTGGGTATGGACCAGCCGATGCAGAATGGAGCCCCTGGGATGATGCATGGCCAACAACACCAGTTCCTTGGAAATGGATGGGCGGTACCACCGTCGGCTATGGGCACGTATGGCAACCAGCCTAATGGCCTCACGTCGTTCGATTACTTGCCGGGCTTGAATCCTTGGGGCGTGGGTGGGGACCAGAATGCACAGCAGGGGACCGAAATGCCGATCTACGGATGGGAAGACTTGGAGTCTATGCTTGGGAATGGGAGGAGTCAGCCCCGGAAGTTCTGACAGCCCTTCAACGGCCGCTGTCTCAACTATTGGGGCTCGGAAGATAATGACACGGGCAGCACGGCTGAGTGACTTGGTTATATAAATGATTCGGATACATTGGTACGCTGCTATCATTTTGCCGCTCGACCGTATATACAAGTAACTGGCCTCGAGACTACCAGGTCACCTTGGGGGGCCAGTTTTGCTACCATTTAATTGTTGGAGTTCGCTGATCAACTTGAGAAACATTTTCCTACTTTGGTCATCTGCTTCGCACTCGATTTATTGGACCACAGGTGTGATTTGCTGTGGCAAGCACTATCTTCTCACATGTGCAAGGGCTCCCCATCGCCCAATGAATCCTCGTCGATGGTTCGTCTAGGACCTTCGAACCAGTGTCTACCACCAAGGCCAAACGGGAGTATCCATCCAACCAGGCTGATTAGTGTCACGATGGTTATACATATAGGAGCGTAGTTCAAAGTTTGCTGCACGCAAGTAAGTCAGCCTTACTGATAGAGACCGCATACACCCTTCGATATGGCCACCACCCAGGAAATACTTACCGCTGTAACTGGATACAGTTGAGGCAGCGTTAGCACCGCAAAAATGAACATGATATACATCGCGGAGATGATTCCAACGATGGTACTATATCTCCCGAGATTGAAACCCGCAGGCTGGAAGTCGCGCTTCCCGATCGTGTGGCGCGCAGCAATAGGAATTAGGTACGAGGTGTTGGTCACGATGGTAGCGGTTGCGCTGATGGCCGTGAAGGCAACAGTCGACCCGATGACAGCACATGTGATGACCACGCTGAGGACGAAGACGAGCAGCGCAGCATGTATGGGAATCCGGGCCCCGTTGAGCTTGCGGAAGTACCTCGAGTAGGGCAGTACGCCGTCGCGCGAGATGGCGAAGGTCACGCGTTGCGCCGACAGGAAGCAGATGGCGGCTGTACAGGTCGAGTCGAGCCATAGCATGACCAGGACGCATATCGCGCCATTCTCGCCAACCAGTTGTACGAGGTACTCGGCCCAGTTGTTTGAGTAGGTTGCCGAGACTATGCCGTCAAAGTCTTGCATACAGAAGAGTATGATAACCAAAGTCTTTGCGGTTGTCGACTTCTTAGCGGACGGCTTCATTGAGGCAAGGTGGGCTTATATCGTAACTCACGGGGATGGAGAGAATCCATGAGCATAGTGTCCCTGCCCAGATCCCTCTGGCAACATTGTCCGATGCTTCATGCGTCTCTTCGGCGAGATGAGCTGTAGTATCGTACCTACTGTAGAGTAAGTTTGTGGAGTTCGGGATATTGAAATACCCAGGCACAACACCTGAAAATGCTGACCACATACCCGTAGAAAACCCATGCCCCGAACAGGATCCCAACCGTCCAAGCATACGCGTCAGATGCCTGTTTCTCCGGACCCATGTTAATACCGTTATAGAACTTATTGAAGACTTCACTGCCTGATTGGAACTTTCCAGCAGCTCTTATGGGGAACCATATCCAGTAGAAAGCAAAGAGGAGAAAGAAAATGACTATCGCGAAGCGAAAATAGAGCTTTAGCACCCTTTGCGAGATTATGTTGGGCAGCATCGCAAGCACCAAGCCCACTGTAGTGATCAGCCACGCAAACCAGCCTTGCCTGATCACGGGGGAGCCCGGATACTTGATCTCGAGGGCGCTGAGCAGGAAGTTGGTTGAACCTTGCTGTACACCGGGCACAATGCAGATCCAGCCTGCCCAGTTCCACCACGCCGTCATCCAACACAGTAGCCGACCATGCCTCTTCCCACCGAGGCGGTAGCTCCAAAAATAGATACTGCCAGCTGTAGGGAAGGCGGCCGCAATCTCAGCCAAGGCTAAAGACACGATAAAGGACATCCTGTACTAAGAAGTCAGATCCGGCACAGCTGGCTGACATGGCTGGAAAGGTGGAGAGAGGGTCATGCCAATGTCCAACGACATGTTCGTTGTATACATACCCCCCAACCAATGTCCAATTGACAAAAGCAGCCTTTGGGCCGCCTGTATACATAGCATAGCCAAAAAGAATCGGGATGCCCGAGACGAAGTTTATCGTGATATACGTTGCGGCCCAGCTCTCGAAGAGCCCAAGGTGGCGGAAGAATTCTGCGGAGCGCCTTCATCAGTGACAACGCCTTATGTTGAGACCTCATTCCCTCAGAGCGATGGCCACCAGACCTTGCTTGTAACCCAGTTTCGCGAGATGTTGCTCGTCATTGGTGAGCATCGTTGTTTCCCCCGCTGACATTTCTCCGTCAGCAGGCGATTGTAACCGAGTCTGTATCTTCGTTTTGTCCATAATTGCTCCTGCCAGTAAAGATGCAATCTGACTGTATGGCACAATGTAAAATGTGTACGAATTTATCGCTTGTGAGGAGGGTAGTGAGTAGTGGCCGGTCCCTGAAAGCGTTCTGGTCGAAAACCTTCAAGAGTCTTCTCCCGTGCTGCCCTCGAGTAAGACAATGCTGACGGCGATACTGGTTGTGTAAACTAAGATAAGAATGAGACACGGCAATCGTGTGAGTGGCGATTTGAGATATGGTTGCACCGCAGGGACAAGACGAAGCTCCGGTCGGAAGTGGAGGTGTGCATTATCAGCGTCACACCAGCTAGGGTAACTACCAACCAATGTGAACATGGCTACTCACCCCTAGAGCACCAGTCTAGGATGATCAGTATATGCACTCATCATTGGAGAAGGACGATGTAACTACGTGATACTTTCTGCACACTCGTCGAGTGTCGATTTGCATTGTCAGCACTTGAGATGTATAGGTGCGCAAGAAGTCTACCGGGTGATGCTACCAATGGGCTAGGATTCTAGCAAATGCCTTTCAACGTATCATATATTTGTGTCCTGTAGAATCAAAGTGAATTTGACCGTCTTGTTGACACTCCCAGTATCCACCCACCAAGATTCTTTCCAGCCGTGGACCGAGCATCCTCATTAATTACCAGCGGGCTATCGTCATCCGAGTCTAGGTTTTCGATCCACTCGTGCTCGCGAATCGGTCTCTCTGCCACGGGAAATCCGTCTCCATCGCGGAGCCAGGTGAAAACATTCCTTGTTACCATCTCGGAGACTTCGTCGTCCGGGTCAAGGCCATCATAATCGACGGAACAGCTACTATCATCGTTGAAAGAAGGATTGCCAAACTTCGCGCGGATGTCAAGCATCCGCGTATCAGTGATTCCCTGCTCAACCTTGATGTCACCCTGACAGTCCCAGGTAAAATAACGGTATTTCAGGCCGTGAGCTGCCGAGCATCGGGTATGTCGACGAACGTCAAGGTCCGTGTCTTCCAAGGCCGTGGAACCGAACGGAGCAAATGGAAAGAGTGGCGGGACTGCATGGTCTCGTTCATGGGCCAAATACATTAGGCGGCACTCGTCAGCTCGCGAGATCTCTTGGGCGTCAGGAGGGACTTTCGTGACAGGCTCTTGAATGAAGGAAACAAGTGTGCCAGTCAATGCAGCCGCGCTAATGTCGACCTTCCACCATCCTGCGCGAGCTTCTTGCAGGCAGCGCTCTTCGGCGCCCGTGATAAAGGCACCTAGCCACAGAAAAGCCAGGCCCGGATCCCTTTCCACGAACATGTTGAAGAGGACAAGCGGATCGCCGGCTTTTTCGGAGTCGAGGAAAGCAAAAGAGCCCTGCAGCCAAGCGCCGCAGATATTACAAGCCACATCAGGCTCGAAGAAGATGCTGTTCAAAAGAGCTTTCACTCCTCTCGCGTTGCAGCTGAGCGTCAGAAGCCGATCCAGCTGCTGAGTTTCCATGTTACAGGGCGGAGGCACCTGGAGCTTTTCTTGTTTGCGACTTGCCCTGTGTGGAAATCGAGGAACGGGCAACTTGATTCTCCTCCTATCAAATTTTGCCACTGGGATGAGCAACGCCGCGGCGAGAGCTGCCTGGCTTTGCTCGGCAACGTCGTGAAGATGGCAATAGTCTGATAGGTAGCGGACAGCGGTGCTGAAGGACGCAGGTTGCGAATTTTCTATTGCTGAGCAAGGCCGAATCTTTGCGGATATCGTGAGATTTGGTCTTGACTGGGTCTTGATGGACCATGGTGCGCAGAGAAGGACACCACGGTCATTGCGGATTGATGCGTCCCAGCCACCGTCTGCTGCAAGAACAGCTGCCCACCATCTCTCAGCAGCATCATCCACGTCACCTAGATCCACAACAACATTGTTGTCATCATCGTCCTGTCCATGCGGTCCATTGCAAGGATTTAGCTGCGCCGGGTGGCTATTGTAGTCGGATATACTCGCGCCGGGAATCAGCTCTGCCCATCGTGCCGAGAGTATATATGCCCATGCAAGCACTAAGATGGGTAAGTGGTTGCCTTGTCCTGAGATGTGGTGGAGAAAGTCCGTTTTGGGATGTGAACCAGAGCTGAAGACAAACGGAGTTGGGCGGTCTGAAGCCACTTGAAGGATCGTCTCTTCCTGGAATGGTGGGAGATGGCAAGGACCTGTGCTGGCGCTCCAAGTGGTCCTGCCCCGTACGATGGCCATGTTTGATAAAGACTTGTCGACTGCGAGCTTTTCTGGGAAGTAGGGATGGTTTGGGAATGCCGAACAGAAGCTGGAAGGTTGATCTTGAAGGTGATTCTGTGCAGCGACTATTTGCCACAATGCAGCCCAAGTCTGGTATCCCCTGTCGTACATCGCCTTGAAGGCCTCCTTGCTGGGACGGACTGCATCTTCCATAACCCTGAATCGCTGAAGAAGAACTAACGTACTACGAAACCGTGGTGTTGTAACCAAGCTTGGAGTCACGCGATGGAGTTGTTTGCATGGAAAACTACCATAGGTACCTAGGCACTTACCGCACCCTAGATAACCTTGGCGTGGTTGGTCAGCCTAACGGGCCGACCAACATTATATGAGTGGTTTCACTTCTATTCTATATATGTCTAAAGATATATATATAGCACCTTTATATAATAATTAATACTTAAGATCTAGTATTTAAAAAAATTATTATATTAATAATTATATAAATATAATATAATAAATATTTATTAATTTAACTTTATATTTATTTTATATAATTAAAAAGTATTACTTTAATATTATTAATAGTTAAATTTTTATATAATAAATAATAAAATTAAAGTATATAATAATACTTCGTTTTTTAAAATTATTATTATATAAATAAATTATAACTAGAATTTATATTTAAAAAATAACTTTTTAAGTATATAGTTTTACTTTTATTCTATATATATTTAAAGATATATATAATACCTTTATATAAACTAATATCCACTCACCTAATAATTATATCTACTCACTTAATTCTTTTTTAACCACTTACTTAATATAAGAATTTATATAAAGAGCTTATATAAAACTATATACCTAACTAAGATTCTTTAAATTTTTAATACTTTTAATATAAGCCCCTTCTATATACCTTTTAATACCCCTTCTAGCACCCCTTTTAACACCCCTTTTAGCACCCCTTTTAACACCCTTTCTAGCACCCCTTTTAACCTATATACCTTTAAGTACTAACTCCTCGTTTAAATACTAATTAAGTATTAAAATACTAACTAAATACTAGAAAGCTAAAAGGTAAGAAGGTAAAGGTAAAGATTATATTCTTTCTAACCTTCTAGTACTCCTTCTAGCTCTCTAACCCTTTAAACTTCTAGCTCTTTAACGTTTAATTAGTATTTAAATATTTAGTTAATACTTAAATAAAGAGTTAGTACTTAAAGGCTAGAAGGTTTAAAAGGTATATTAAAAGGTGTACTAGAAAGTGTGTTAAAAAGGGTGTTAAAAGGAGTGCTAAAAGGTGTATTAAAAGGTATATAAAAGGGGTTTATAATTATAGTAGGCTGTAGTATTAGGTATAATGGTATAGATTAAAGAAGGTTTAAAGGTTTATTAGGTTTAGATTTAATATAAGATTAATTTTTATTTTTTTTAAAGAAGAGGTAAGTAGGTATTATTTGCTTTTTAATGGGTTTAAGAAGGGGTATAGTTAGGTATTAGGGTACCTTTAGGGTACTTTTTTATAGCTTTTACTTAATTATTATAATTATATCTTTTTTTAGAAGGTTATTTTTAGTTATTACTATTAGTTAATATTAGTTATTTTTATTTATACTTTTTAAGGATTTTTTTTATTTATTATTATTAATTAATTTTAGTAATTTATTAGGTTTTTTAATAGTTTTTATTATATTTTTATAGGGGTATGAATTAGTTAGTTCTTTTTTAAGTAGTTACCTTTCTTTCTTTATTTTTACTTCCTTTTTTATTTAATAATTAACTTTATTAAATCTTTAATTAGCTTTCTTTTAATTATTTAATATTCTTTATTATTATTTTATAATTATTATAAATATTATTAATATATTTAAATAATTAGAGTTAAATAGTTTTTAAGGGTTTCTTTTAATAGTTTTTATTAGTTAAAAGTCCTTAATTATTAGTTCTACTTTTAATTAGTAGGTTTTATTATTATATAATTCTCTTCCTTTTTAATAATAATTATAATATTTATAAATAGTTTTTCTTTTTAATAACTTTATATATTATTTTATTAATTTTTATTTAATAATAAGGTAGATTTTTTTATAAGTATTTTATTAAATTAGGTTTAATTTTTAAGGGCTTTAATAATAATTATATTAATTTTATTACTTTTAATATTAATAACTCCTCCTCTTTAAGCTATTATAATAGAAATAATAATAATAATAAAGTCTTTAAAAGCTTTTATTAAAATAATAGGTAAAAACTTATAATTATTTTATATAGTCTTTAAATTTATTAAAAAATAGTTATAAAAGTTATTATTTTATTAGAAAACTTAAATAGAAAAGGTTTATTAAGAATTCTTTAAACTTTTAAAAATTCCTTTATTCCTTATAAAATCTATTTAGTTTTTAATTATCCTTTTAAGATTAAGAAATATATTATACTTTTTTATAAGAATATAAAAAGGCTTTTATAAATATTAATTTATTTAATTATTTTTATTTAAATTATAAAAGAATATAAAATATAAAGTTAAGTAATTAAATTTTAAGTATTTTATAATATATATATATATATCTTTTAAAGTTAATTCAAAATATTTAATTATTTTTATAAAAGGATATTTTTATATTATTATTAATTTAAAAGGTTTTTATTATAATTAATATATTATAAAGTATTATTTATTTTATATTATAATAAATTTATCTTATATTTTTATTAAATTATAAAGTAGTTAATTTTTTAAAGGATTTTTAATTATTAATTTAATTTTTAATATTTATTTTATAAAGG